CCTCTTGCATTTAGGAGACCGCTTAGGGGAACCCTAAAGATCAAGGCCCAACTGCAGCCCCGTTGCAGGCTGAAACAGCAACCTGTCAAAAGCCCCAAGAAACCCTCACCTTACCTGGCATGCACACTTACCAGCTTAGTATTTTCCATAAAAAAGAACACAGCCACAGCTCGACAGCTACCGTGCTGCAGCTGTTATTAATGGTTAGCACCATCAGCCAGTGGGCTGGGCTCTTCAGACAGCAGAAAACTCTTGCCTGGCCTGAGGATTTTTCACATAACTGATCACCAAGCTTTATAACCATCCCCTACAGACTATGATGATGATGAATGAATGAAATTAGATAAGTCAATATGGTTCATTGCCGGAGTTTGCCCACTCACTGCAGAAGCATCATCACTGTGTGCGTCCATCGGTACAGGGGATGAGCTCGATTCAAAGTCTTTACCCACACAGTATGAAACCACCACTGGGCTGCAGCTCTCAGCTACCTCACAAGGACTCCGTAGCCCTTTCCTGGCTCTTTCTGTCTCTCTCTATCCTTGCCTTGGGCCATCCTGGAAGCCCCTTGATGAGTGCCTCATCCTTCCTTATTAAAACACAGCAGATTAAGCTGCAGTCTTAGCAGTTAAATGACAGATTGCAGAAAAACACCGAAGTAACACAGAGCATTTGCTGCTGCTGTCCTCTGCCTGACTAAACCAGTTGCTCCACTGTGTGGCACAGATGCTCTGCAGCTCCGCTACCAGCGATGATGCCCTCTGTGCTGAGCGGTATTTCTACCTCTGCTGAGCCCCGGATGCCTGTAGGCAGAGCAGGTCTGAGATAACTGTGAGGAGCCTGCTTCCAAGTGGGTGCTGCGCTGCCTCCAGCACCGCTCGAGTGCCCTCCGCCTCGGTCCTGGCGCATCCCATGCAGCGAGCAGCATCTTGCGTTAGCACTACAGGGCAGGGGGTCGTGCCTGCAAACTGCTGTGCGCCGAAATCTGAGCTCTGCACTCTCCACCCCAGCCCTGACACAGACCCCCTAAGTGCCCCAAGGCGGGCACCTTCATCCCTGGGGGCCCCGTTCGCCATCTGTAGCCCCGCGCTGCCCCCCCCTCCTGCTGGCACCCCCTTGCCCTTGCTCACACCGGCAGCAAAGCGGGGGGCACAGCCGGAGGGCGCCCGAAGGACGAGCCCTGCGGGGCGTGTGGGGGCCGCCAGGGGACACCCCCGGCCGGCCCCAGCGCAGCGCGGGGGCTTCGGGGCGGGTCCCCCCGGGGCGGGTCCCCCAGGTGCCCGCCCCCGTGCGGGAGCGCGGCTCGGCGGGGCTGCGGCGGGCAGTGCGGGGCGGCCACCGGGCCCGCCGCCGCCCCGCGGCTGCCATGGAGGAGCCACCACCACCACCACCACCACCACCACCACCACCACCACCACCACCACCATCATCATCACCATCACCATCACCAGCCACCTGATCCCCGCCGCCGCCGAGACAAAGCCCGGTGAGTGCCGCACCCAGCCCGGGGGGCTCCGTCCTGCGCCGCGGGGTCCCCCCGCAGCCCCCCAGCAGCAGCCCGGGCACCCCCCGGCACCCCCACCCGCAGCTCAGCCTCCCCCTGCCCCGAACAAAGTGCCCTGCCCGCAGCCCAGCCCCTCACCATGCAGCCCACGGGAGCCCAATGGGGTGGGGTGGGGTGTGGGGTCCCGATCACTGCATGCACCTGAGACCCCCAGCACCCCCAGCCCATGTGCTGCAGCCACCCCCCTGCATGGCTCCCAGACACCCCCGCACACCGCAGCATCCCCACTCCGCTCACCGTCCCCATCCCCGTGCCCTTCCCCATCCCTGGCGCCATGGCGGGGGGACAAAGGGGACCGCGGGCTCACCGCCACCGCTTTCTCCCTCGCAGGCGCAGCCATGGTGGAGCCACCAGCGGAGCCCCCTCCGCAGCCATGCCCGGCACCCGGTGGGGCAGCAGCAGCAGCAGCAGCCCCCGGGGAGGCGTCCCGTCCTGGGGAGCAGTCCCCACTGCTGCACCTGGACCTGTACAACTTCGACTGTGCGGCGGCGGAGGGCAGCCGGTACGTGCTGACCAGCCCGCGCTCGCTGGAGGCCTGCGCCCGCTGCGCCGTGCGGCCGGTGGAGCTGCTGCCACGGGCGCTGGGGGAGCTGCTGCGGGAGGCCCCCGGGCGCTCCATGCGGGTGGCCGCCGGCCTCTACGAGGCCTATGAGCGGGAGCGCCGCCGCAAGCTGCAGCAGTGCCGGGAGGAACGGGAGAGGATCATCCGCGAGGAGAAGCGGCGCATCCTCGCACCCCTCGGCAGCCTGCCGCCCTCGCCCGCTGCTCGTCTCGCCCCCCGGGCTGCCGCCTCCACCACCACCACCGCCGCCACCAGTGGACCCAGTCCCAAGGGGAAGGCTGGGGCGTCAGGAGGTGCCAAGGCCAAGAGCCACTCGCTGGACTCGCTGCAGAAGCGCCGGGAGGGCAGCTGGGGCAAGACCTCCTCGGAGTCGGGGGCCTCGTCCTCCTACAGCGGGGAGAGCCTGAGGGGACACGGGGGCAAGGGGCGCGGACGGGGCCGCGTGGCCGATGGCTCGCTGCTGGGGCGCAGCTTCAGCCTGGGCGACCTCAGCCACTCGCCGCAGACGGCCCAGAGGGTGGAGAGGATCGTGAAGGAGGTGAAGAGGAGGAAGGGTCTCTCGGAGGTGCCCGAGAGGGACAAGAAGATCGCGGCGCTGATGATCGCCAAGCACCAGGAGGCCAGCCTCCTGCGGGAGCAGCGGCAGGCGGCCCACCTGCAGTGGGACAGCCAGCGGCGCCTGGCAGAGCAGCGGAAGGAGCAGGAGGAGAAGGAGAAGCAGAAGGCCCTCCTGCAGGGCCAGAGGATGTGGGAGAGCCAGGTGGAGAAGCGGCGGGGGAAGCTGAGCCAGGAGCAGCAGGAGGCCGCCCTGCTGAAGCAGAAGCAGCGGCAGGTGTGCGAGGAGAGGTGGCGGGAGCAAGCGGAGAAGCAGGAGCGGCTGCGGAGGGAGAAGCTGGAGAAGGCCATCCAGGAGGACAAGCAGAAGAAGCTCCACCAAGAGCACAATCTGAAGGCGAAGGAGGAGGGCAAGAAGGAGCACCGGGAGCGGGAGGAGCAGCTCCTGCAAGGAGAAGCTGTCCACGGCTGCACAGAAGAGGCTGAGGAAGGAAGCACAGCTGCAGAAGGAAAGGAAGCAGCTCAGCCAGGCCGAGAAACTGAAGCACGAGGCCTTGCTCAAGGAACTGGCCAAGCAAGAGGCAGAAGAGAAGGAAATGCTGAAGGCCTCCCTGGAGATGAGTTTGACCAAGGCTCAGGAGAACTACGAGCAGCTAATGGAGAAGAGGAACCAGGAGCTGAGGGAGAAGGCCAGGCGGGAGGACATGCAGATCCAGAGAGCCAAGCTGGCAGCAGAGAAGAAGGAAAGAGAGCAGAAGGAGCACTTGCAGGCCCTGGCGAAAGAGACAGAGAGGAAGCTCCAGCATGCTGCCCAGGTGGCTGAAGAGGTGGTCCAGGAAAAAGCCCGCAAGGTGGTCTTGAGCCGTCTGGAGAAGGAGAAGGTGCAGAAGATGAACAAGCAAAAGGTGGAACAGTATGAGGACTTACGGCGCCGGGAGATCCTCCTTTCTATAGAGAGGAAACTGGAGAGGAGCGAGCAGATCTTCAAGGAGAGGAAGACAGTCTTAGAAAACGCCAGGTCTGTAGCTCGGGCATCCTTCCACGTCCGGGAAAAGGTACGGGAGGAGACTAACATGCGCACCTTTGACAAGATGGCCTTTGAAGCAGAACTGCATGCCAGCCTGGATAAGAAGTGACAGATCTTTTCGTGGATGAGTAGGGATATGTTACCAATTGTCCATAATAATGCATCAGAAAACTCCTCTGCATTAACACTTAAAAAAAAAAACTAATAATTTGTTATTTAGGAGGAGCAGGGTACCGCACAAAAACGTGGCAGCTATTTCACATACTTTTTTAAACATGTTTTTGTTCTGGGCATGTTTTAAGGACCAACCTCCATCATCTGTACAGAGGGGGAAAAGAGCTTTTGCATCCTCCACCCCACAAGCACACGTTTTCCCAGAGGGCTGCAGAAGTTTGTGTGAAACCTGTGAGTTACTGATTGTCTTAACTGGAGCTGACAACAGCTGCACTATTTTTAGTTGCAAAAACAGACAATAGAGACTATGTATGGGCTACCATTAGAGCCTACTGACAAAGAACCAAAACCAGCCCAGCTGATTCTGGTTCAAGTGACATTCAGCTGATTCAAGGTACGGGATTGCATTTTCAAAGCCACTGCACACCCATGAAGGCACGGACGGCTGTATTGGAGAAGGTCCATGTGTCCCTGGACATGCCTCACCTGCTGCTGATATCAGACATGGGGGGAAGAAAGCATGGGTCAAGACTTCATAACACCTTGTGAGTAGACATTGTGATCAGAGCTGGGCAGAAACTGTTAAAGGTGTTTACAAACACCACAGTTGCACTTCTGCTGTGTGCAACTGTGGCCCCTCCCCAGTATCCTCACCCCTCATTTCCAAGCATCTCTTTTAAAGGTCTGTAGAAGTTCCTCTTTCGAGGAGGAAGTTTGTAGGCAATCAACAATCTGACATGCACAACCCATTTGTTCATTAAGATATAAAAATTAACAAATCTGTGGAAGCTGGCCTTGCAGATCATTGTAAAATGGAAATCTGTGGACAGATTGCATAGAGGGGCTGAGGAATCTCCATAATTGGAGAAAAAAACTCAAAATTCTCAAAACTCAGCGAGACCCTGAGCAGCCTTATCCAGTTCAGTCTGCTTTGAGCAGGAGGCTGGACAAGGTGTGCTCCAGAGGTCTCTTCCAGCCTAAGGGTTGCACTGAGTGGCTTAAAATGTTCCCCCAGCTCTTATCATTGTCTACTGGGCAGAGCAGCTTTTATCTGTCCACTGGTGCTAACAGTTATATGCTTATTTTAGGGCACAAGAAGGAGTCAATGCACAAAATAGTGTACGTTACGGATCCTCTTAGATGAGGATCATGGTATTTTTACAACTGTAACTCAATCCCATTTATAGGGAAAGGAGTCCTTCTGACATTAATGTACTGGAAATGTGAAAAGCCTACCTACGCCCCATGGACAGCGTTCAAGTCAGTGTTCTGTTCCAGTTTTCCACCTTCACTCTGCTGGGTTGCAGTTACAAGCACACATCCAAACCAGGCACTTTCTGCTGCTTTTTTTCTGGCCCTGGGCACCGCCAGCGCTGTGCTCCACCATCCGTGACACCGTGCTGGGTTGTTGTAGTGACGGTATCAAACCCAGGGCAAAGGGGAGAAGCAGCACGAAGAGCCAGGTTCTCATTTACTTGCAGATGTCTCTGACATACAACGCAGGGGATGAGAAAACCCGAAGAAGGTTGACATATGACGCAGGCATGCGGTTCTGCATGCATAGATCACTTACCTCTCAGAAGGCTTTAAGGTGTTAAATGACCAGCAACAACAGCAGTAAACCAAGCACACCCTGGTGCCCTGCAAGGATGGAGACATCATAAAAGCAGCAATGGGAATGAAGCAAGTAGGGATCTCTTTCATTTTGATGGAACTTGCTCTCTTTGAATCACAGAGCAACTGGTGCTGTTGAGGGCAGGCAGCATGAAAAGTAGGAATTAGGGCACCTGAGTTATGTTTGCTCAGTCTGTCGTCGGCTCACTGTGTTACACCAGGCAAGTCCTTGAGGGCTGGCCCTGCTCCTATTGATATAAAAGGAAGCAGAGTCAGGCTCTGGGGACTGCTATGACTCGCAGGAAATAGTAACACTTGGCTTGGCAAAACGCTTCTAAGACTCTGGACGAAAGATGCTAACAAAGCACAAGATACTGTTTTATTTATTTATTTGTTTGTTTGAGCTGTTATTAAAGTATGCCTGTTGGCAAAAAGCACCAATTAACAACAAAACTTAAAAACATGCACAACTCTGGGAAGGACAGCAGCATTACTCTTTCCAGCTAGGAGCCTGTCACTGCACCCTCGTCCTCAAAACTACAGTCAGTTTGAACAGTGGAAGCAGTCCTGCTGTCCTACGGTAACACCAGACAGGGTCCTTTATGAAAATACAGTTGTGTGCATGTGTTGTTTGTACTGCAGTGCTCCACCTATGCCCTTGTAGCATCAAAGACCTGGAAAAGAGATGCCCAGTGGTCCAACTACATCCTGCATAAAATCTCTCCCTCTCCCTGGCAGCATTGGAGTTGGGATAAAACTTGCACTAACTTCTGTGTAGCCAAGATTTCATTTTGTTTGTAGCCTTCAGGGCTGCAGAGAAAGCCTGCCAGCGCTGATGCAAAGGCCTGTGCTCCCTGCTTCATTGCATTGTGCTTGAAGTTCACTGCTTGATCCATTCAGCAGAAAGCTAAGGGGAAGAGCTGGGAACTGTAAAGAAGGCGTAATGTAAATCTAATGCATAATTTGATGAGCAAATGAGCAGCCACGGCCACTAACTGGAACAGTAAAACAGTATTTTTCCCTGAAAGTCCACTGCATTCTGCCCTCTGACGTGGTATTTCCAGGGCAGACTGAGAACATTTTTACAGCCCAGGAGAGACGCCTTGGCCACTGACTGTAATTACACCTCGGGTCTATGCTTCCAAATGAGTTTGACACCTTGGGGCTACAGCCGAACTAATCAAAACCCATCTACATGGTGGTAATTGGATTGGCTAACTGCTGTTTCTATACTGTGCAGTGTGCAGCTCAAGTTTTGAATGTGCAATCTACGGAAAAAAATATTTTTTTTCAAAAGACATTAATCTGTGTATGGACTTCTTTATTTCTGTAGTGGTTCCAGTCCAAAACCTGTGAAAGTCAGCGGAGTTTTTAGTTACTTAAACTTGTGACATGGAAAATGAAGTCAGCTAGTTGGGTGGAGGCATGAGAGGTATTTCTTGGGTCTGCTTATGCTTTGTTTATTTGAGAAGGAGTTTAACTGCCGGGTTTCTGTGGAAATTGAAATTAAGCCCTGGTATGCATACAAAAAGAATGGCATTTTTAAATGAGGCTTGATATTGAGCTGCAAGCCAGAGAGAACTAAAAATGAAAGCAAGAAACATGTTATCTGACTGCTCCAAAATAGATCACAGCTTACACAGAGCACAGGAGCAGCTGATGACATTTGGTCAGGTTCTGCAGAAAGTTAACTTAGGTTGGGCTTCTCCTGGGATTAGAAGACACATTTTAGGCTATTGGTCTATTATAATCATGAGGTTATAATAAAGAACTTGCTTCTAGACCATGTGCATGCCTGCTGCAAAGTGACCACTAGACCTTGAAATACCTGCACTAAAAAGCAACAAAGGCCATTTACTGGCACATTTCTGTGACCAGTGGCACATCTTAGATCTAGCTAGCATCAAATTCCCAGGTGTCACTTCCTGAGCACTTGAAAGCCTTGCTCCAGATTTCATGTTGGATCCCATGGATCTAGTGGGACAAGCCAAAATCTAGGTCCAAATGCTACTAAACTTTTAAATCTGAAGCCAAACACTGATGCACACACCCACCCCTGTAACTCCACTTGAAAAGCACTGTACCCATTAGTACTAGACTAGACTGGAACTCCTCCTGCTAGGATGTGACCTGCTAGAAATCACTTTGAGGGGTTTCTGAAGTTGAGGTATTGAAACATTAGGGAGAAAGACTTCATTATCATTTCAATGTTCAAAAAAGAATTACAGGATCAAGTCCTGAGATTCATTTTCATTATATAATGATGGGAGTTTTACCTTTTGCACAATGCGACAAGATGATCAGGCACATAATCATGGGAAAGAAGAGACTGCCACACTCTCATCCATCACAGAATAAGGCAAGTAATTTCAGAGGTCCCAGAACTGTGCAGCCTGGTTTTCTTGGTCTGGTGCCCAGTGACTGGCTTCAGCGAAACTGAAGCTGCTTGTATTGGACATCAGAGAACTCACACATGAGGAGAGCCACTGACTGAAGGGCAGTTCCTGTAGCACGAACTCCAAATGAAGCTTTCACACACTTTGAGTCTTTGTTGACTATGTCATTTACGTGAATTATCTAGTTTTTAACAGCACCTGGAGTAAAGCTGGAGCCCTTCAGTGCCCATGAGAGCCCTAAAAGTCTGTCTCTTCTGCACGCTGCCTCTTCACACAACATTCATCACTAAACCATGATCTCTCTGTCAATGCTGAATTTGGCACACACATTCAAAAGCTATTAGGAGGAGCAGCTGCATCCCCACTAGTTAATATTTCACAAAGTATTTTAACCAAGTTTATCATAAACACTTTCACAGCATGAGTAAGAGAGATGTGAGGATGAGATTTCTCACCTTGGCTACCTACTGTGGTTCTCTTATGGTGCTTAGGAAGCTCTAAACTCATTCTGTGCTAAGATTTCTCTTGACACTGGGGAAATTTTGTTCACCAAACTGATGCTGAATATGCAATATGCACAGGTCTGAGAGGAGACTTTTTCAGTGTGTGTGTCTTTACTAAGCCAAGCCTGGACAGGGAGATGTGGGGAGTGCAGACTTTGCAACACAAAGTCCATCAACTACTAGTTTTCCAGAGGTTCTTCTAAGAAAGGCCCCAGAGCCACCACTAGTAGCCATTATCAGAGGTGACTGCTTCAGAGAAGTGACACTTCCTGCTTCTTTACTGACCTCAGAGAGAGCCAGGCTGACCACATCCTACCTGAGAACGGCTTCTCATCACCACCAGCCATTACGCCATAAGAAAGGATTTGCTTTCATCTGTGGGTCTTCTTCCTTTGGTGGTTAATACGTAATGGTTAGAATGATATTTTGCAAGTCTTTTTTTTTTTTTTTTTCTTTTTCTTAAAGCAGGTGCAGGGAGGTATAGGGACAAGCCACAAAACTAGTTGGATGCAGGTTGTGGCTACGGGTTGTGGTTCTGCTTTGCAGGCCTGGGACTGTGCAGTTGTCCAGGAGAGCAGACACCACGCCTAGGAGAGCAAAGGTGCTCTGGGGGGGGATCCGCCTGCTCTCAAATCACATCACCTTCATTCAAAGCATGCAAGTGTAAGCTTGTTAATACCTTGCTGGGTCAAGGTCCCAGGGAATTAAGTTTGTTGGGTTTGGTCTTAGCTGTCATAGTTGAGAAAGAAAACTGTCACGGGCAAAGAACGGGAAGTCCCAGTCCCTCTGGAAATGAGCCGCATGATGTTTGCTTTGCAGCACAGTCCAGGCTTGTTTTAAGGTGAGCCAATGGAGCCCTGGTACAACTTACCATGGGAGCGCAGCCCCACAAGCCCTCTGCAAGCAAGTAGCACACGCTGTAAACAGCCAGTGCTGAGACACGGTGAGAAAATCAGAATGCTTCTGCTTCTAGGCAGGAGGCAGCTCTGCCCCTCTTTGTGGTGAGATGTTACTGGATGGTGCTCTGATGGGAAAATACTGTGAAGAGAAATAAAAAAAAAAAAAAAAAAAAAAAAAAAAAAAAAAAAAGCTAAATCACAATACAAGATACCTGGAAACACATTATCCATTTATGTACAGCAGCCAGCATTCAGTGGGAAGCTAGCATTCAGAGCCTTCATACTGGGATATGCTCCATATCCCATACGCCCGTTAATGCTAGGACATTAAAAAAAAAAAAAATCAGTTCTAGGTCTGGTTCCTTTGTCCTTAGCTCGTTCATTTTGGCATGGCTTTTGCTGTGAAACAACCTTGTTACAGTAAGATTCAGTAAAAGAAACAGTAAAAGGACCCAAATCCTCCTCTTGCAACTTTGCATTCATCACCTACACCCCTGCCACTCAGCAAGAAATCTCCCACATTACAAAATCGCACTGGCAGTAAGAAATATCCTGTATTACAAAATCAAACCGCCAGTGCAATTTTGTACTTACATGCTTTACGCAGCTCCCTGCGTCCAACCCCGGGACCTGACTGTGAGGTAAACGAGTTATTGCCCGGTCTGAGTACAGGAAAACTGAAGCAGAAAGAACGAATGTGCCTGGCCCCGGGCCATGCTGGCACTCAGCTGAAGCTCTCACATCCTCCCTGCTCCCCCAGCAGCGCCCTAATTAACCTCCCTGCTGCAAGGAGAGGCTGTCCCTGAGCCTCTGCTGCAGCAGCTCCTCCGTTTGCTGCTCTCCAGCTGGAGCTGCACGGAGGATGGAGGTCTTAAGATGCCAGCCTCCACTTCTAGCCGCTGACCTTGAAGCACTTGAAGGGCCTGTAAAATATCTCTTTGTGCTTTCAAACAGGGGGCCTGAACATGAATAGTGTGACTGAGGATCCTTGAACCATCCCGGCTGACTAGAATCACCTCTGTAGATATGACAACACGCAGTAACACTATTTCCTCCAGCCCAACAAAGTCACAACTTCACCTCACTAGTTACTTCGCTAGAGCTACTCCAGGAACAAATGCAGCCTAGATACATTATCCTTTCTATTATTTATGTCAATCACAGTGTGTTAGGATAAGCTATGCCTCCAAGAGCCCGCTGGAAATTTCCTCCTGCCTGAATCGTACCCAGGCAATGGGACGGTAGGGTCACACAGCCTCTGGTATTTTTAGGCACAGAGGAGAGCCCATCGATACCCATCTGCGTGCGGCATTCCTGGATGTTTGCAGAAAGCAGTGTTTGCTCGAGCAGCTCAGGGCAGCTGGCACAGAGACACCTTGTCAGACAGCAAGCTAAACAGTGGGGAATAAATAAGAGGTTTGGCTCTCTGTCAGATGCTGTTGGGAATGTTTGGGGTTTTAGGAGGGTGATGGGATAAAGTCGTCTCATTTTTAATCACCTCCCAAGTAAGCTGTGCTATTTTTAACAGTTATCTAATGATTTATGAAAGATGGGAAGATAAACGAGGAAGGGAGCTTAAAACACAAATGTGCAGGTAAAGCGGAAAGACATTTTCCTTTCCGACCTGAAAAACCCTGAACATTATGAGAGCTTTGTTAAGTGCCAGGCAGCACACATTGTGTTCGACCCCAGGAGGGGGTCTGCTCTGTTCACAGCTTTGCTGCCCGTGTACCTGTCTCCTGCTCACTCCCAGTACCGGCTGTTTCCTCAGACTTCAAGGAAAAGGTGAGATTAAAGAAGCACAAGATGAGCTCCTTGAACAGAAGGGCAGCATTTTCACTGCGGAGGGGTCACTACACTACTGTCCTGGCAGGACTCAGCCCAGCTCTGACACGAAGCCAGCCCAGCAGAGGAGCAACACTTTGCTCTCACCGGTGGGTTTCTGCAGCCCTCGCCAATTACAGATGCTGTCTGAATCTGGGCTTTGGATCTTTGGCTGGCATAGACTGAGAACCTGCAGAAGAACAAGGATGTTGTGGAATGGCAAAGGGATGCAAAGGGATTTTTAAAAAGCAGCACCGCTGCTAATTTTCTTCCCTTGCGTTGTTTTCCCAGTCAGCGTAACATGGGTGGGGAGAACCCTAGCAGCACCAGAAATCATGTTTCAAACGGAGCAGCCCAGGCTCCACTAGCTTAACCACAGCACTGCAGAGCCTAGCATGGGCTAACCGGTCCAGTGTTCTCCACCTTCTCCTAATGGGCACTGAAACCCATCCTGAGCTCTGCTGAAACATGCATGGTTGGCTTATACTGGCCTGCGGGGCCTGTCATGACAGGAATTTTAGAAGTCTCTTAACAGCTCCGAGTTACGGCGTCACTTTTTCTGCTAGTGCTCTGTGATGTCTCACCTCCTGCTGTGCAGGATGCAGTAGAGCCAGGGAGGATTGTTTGGGAAGTCAGAGCTGACCTGCCTGCTTTCAGAAAACACAAGGCAGGTGGGTGCACTGAGGGATCCTTCAGTGCTTTACGCAATGCGAGTTAGAGCACCTGGCATCCTACATTTGCTCTGCATACACTCCACATCACTTTGTACGGTAGCTGTCACTTCAACTCATGTCTCTTAGATGTGGCAAGTCCCAATATTTTCTAGGCAGAAGGGACTGCCCAGAGAAGAAAGGCAGAAGTTTTCTGTGATTGCTACAACATTGCAAAGAACCTGCTCACCACTCCTTGCTCAGTGAAGTATCCCAATGCATTCTATTTATGGCTCCATAAAGAAAAAAGTGTGGCAGTAGGAGGTTCCTGAAGGCAGCGAGGTTCATACCTACAGCTACTGGCCTCTCTACACATCTCTGCTCAGCATGTGCTGCGCTACTCAACAGATTTCCTGTGGAAAGGAACCTGCAGAGCCCTCTCTCCAGAGACACTGTACTATAATGCAGATGCCACATGATTCAGTCACAGCCTGTGTTTCCCCAAGTGCATAAAAAAATAATCTGTAATGCAGCTACCAGGGGATTTCTGCAGTCTCCTGCAATCTGCAGGGGCCCTTTGCATCCATCCCAATGCCCACGCTCTATAAACTCGCAGGCTGTACAGTACTCACTGACCTTGCAGTGCTGGCTGAATCCTCCCTGTGACAACACACTGCAACATTTGGGTACAGGAAGGCATCCTGCAAGCAGGCAAGGCTGGCCAGGGAGTCAGTATATCAGATCTATAGAGTATAATGTTAACATAAGTCTTTTCCATGGGGAGGTTGTTGGCACAAATGCAAAGGAACAAAGTACCTCCCAAGAGGAAAGGAAAGAACTGCTGAATGTGAGAGATAAGAGATAACTGGCAAAGTGGGGGATTTAAATAACCTCCAAATCATAGGTACACAGCTTATAGGCCTCATGCAACAGAAATGTGCATAGCCAAACAGGTCCTCTTGTACAATAATTTGTGTACCCTTGGGGAAGGAATGACGGCGGAGGGCACTTAGGACCAGAGGTAAGAGAAGAGAGGTGTTTTGCAACACCAGGGAGTACCAGGAAAGCTGAGTGAGGGGACGAATGCAGGAAAGCTGTTCTGTAGATCTCCAGAGATGATGGCTCTCACACCAATACAGAAAGAAGAAAAAAAAAAGAAGAAAATAAAAAGTGCCCTGAATGAGTGGTGGGCATAAGGAGGGAAAAGAAAAACAATCTCCACAGAGCTGCTGGGCTAAGCTTAAGGCCCAAATTTAACATCAGGCTGCGAGGAGCTGGCAGAGACCCCCAGCATGCCCCCAGCCCAGCTCTGGTCAGGAAGGCAGAGGTGTCTGAGCCCCTCACCAAGGCAAGGGCCAAGCAGAGTTTTGTGTACAGACATTATGATCCAGTCACCAGGCCGTGGGGCTGGGTTCCTCCCGGTAGGGTCAGCTGCCCAACACGGTGACACCTAGCACCTTTCTGTGCCCGAGCTGAGGCGACACCATGGCCAAAGGAAACCCGAGGCTGGCGCTGGTTCAAGGAGGGCAGGGTCCTTCTGAAAGGGAAGAGGCAGGCTAGGGGGGTTTCATAACCCTCAAATATGCACTGCCAGCATGGGAAGAGAGGGACACTCAGCAGGAAGAGGGGGACAGGTGGCTGGATGGGAGGCTGAAACCTCTTGGGTCAGGCCTGGTCAAAACTCTCCCTCTGCTTTCACTTGCGGGCAGGACCCTAAGGATCACTACTGAGGATTTGGGCCTCAACCCTCAACGACTTGTACAGCCCTGAGACCTGGTCATGAATCCACACACTGATGCTTTCTATGGCCCAGACAAGCCAAGACACTGCCTGGGTGCCAGCGGTACGAAAGGCAGGGTGGTCCTGGGCATAGGTTCAGGAGAAACAGCTTTGTTCACCCCTCTCTGGGCCAAGTCAGCAGAACTAGTGAGTAATTCAGGACAGAGCAGAGGAAAAATAATTATAAACCTTCTTTCTATATACGGCAGATAGCAGACAGGATTAATATACAGAGGGACTCCCTGATTTCTGACAAGCCTAAGCCCTCAGACAACTCTGTTTTTTTGCACCAGATGGCTCCATCACTCGATAAAGTAGTGCCCTAGATATGCTGGTTGTTTTCCAATCTGCCACCAAATTAACACAGGGGGACAGGCACGTACAGACACGGCTCCCACACTGTTACCACAGCTCCTGAGGCCCCCCGCAGCAGGGTGCTGCGTTTTTGCAGCCCCCTCCCCAGGAGCAGCTACCGAAGGGATTAAACAGGGAGTGTTATCTAGCGCAGTGGCTTAATCACTAAGCAAAGTGCTCATCCCCTGACCACGAGGTCAGGGAATTATCTCCCTGACAGATAATGCAGCCAGGGCTTGGAGCAACCCGAGTGGCTGGACTGTCACTGCCAGCCCACAGCTTTACTGCTGCTTCTGGGAGAGCAACACCGCTAAGATTCCATCAAGGTGCAGTGTGGCTCTCCGCAACTGCCCTCAGATGCCTCTTGCAAACATAATTGAAATTCAGCCTTGTTGCCCTCCCATAAAACACCCCCAACACCAAATCTCAGAGGGCAAAAGGGTTTGAAGGCTGAATGCATTTAGAGTACTACAGGGAGAGCATTATTCAGGAGGAGCTCCTAATAGGCTGCAAAGGACTAAGCAGGCTCTAGGCCTGGGCCAGAAAAGGAGTGACACAAGCGACTTGGGGGAAAAAGTATACATCTAGAAACATGCAGAAGGCAGAAAATCCTGCTCCCCATAAGCCAGCCTATTGTGGCAGTGCTCAGTGTGCACAAGGGCAGCCCACTTGGCTCTAACACGGAAACGGAAGGGATCGGTGACAAAAGTCTTTAGACATTGAAGCATAAGGAATCCAGGGCTGCTGCCACCAGGAAAGAGCAAGTGGAGTTCTCACATAAACAGCTACAAAAACAGATTCTTGCTAAGAAATAACATGAGGCAGGGGCTCATGCTTTACCCGTAACAGCCATCCTGTGTAAAGTGCAGGTGCCTCACCTGTGAAGGCCAGGGGCCACCCTGCAGCCGGGGGTGATGCTCTCCTCATTCCTCCCACCATGGGATGCTTCCTGCAGCACTGCTGTGGGATGCAGGAGCAGCTCCCACCTCAGGGTGCAAGCTTTGCCCAGAGTCTGCTCGGCAAATTCCACCTTCCTTCAGCTGTAAATAAAAACAAAAATGTTTTTACTACTTCTAGCGCAGAAACACAAAAGGTGAGCTCTCTGTGTCTCTATTCAGCTCAGCTGACAGGGTCATAAATGTGGGGAGGTAGGAGAGGCAGAGCAACTGCCAGCATTTCATTTTCTTAGAAAAGCAAACTGGATTTTCTCAGAAAGCCAAAAAATCCCCACTGAAGCAGCACTGGATAAATCATGTTAGAAACAGCTTTCTGGCCACCAGTCTCTTATGCTGGCCAGAACAAGCCCTGTCCTCTTGCTGCCAGGGTTATGTGTGGGTCACTTCGGCCCTCTTTAGAGGAGAAAGCCACTGACTATAGCTTGAGGGTGTTTATCAGGTGTCCACCATCCCAGCCTCCCCCTGTGGCCCCAGGAGACCACGTTAGTGAAGGACAGGAGAGGGAAATGCAATCCCTTCAGAGCCCTTCCTCTCAAGGTTCTCCTGCGGGGAGGTTCAGCCACAGCTACCATTAGTGCACACCTCCCTTCTGCTGCTGCTCTGTTCCCCAGGCCCAGGGAAGGATCTGGGCTGGTGGAAAGGCAGGTCAGATAGCTGAAGCTTTCCGAGCTGGTCGCACCGTGCCCTTTTCTCTCACATAGCACCCCAACAGCTACAGCCCAGCTGCTTCAGCAAAGGGACAGAGGTATTTAAACAAATAAAAAGCAGAATAAGTAACCTGCCCCCCTGGGAGAGCTAGCTGCAAGCAAAGGTCTCTCCCAGTCTCTCATCTCAGGCAAAGGAGATAAAAACCCACAGTGCTCCACGTGGAAAACGGAGCACTAATAAAAAAAAAAAAGCTTCAGATTTTCCACTTGGCTGCCGCTCCTCAGCTCCCTCCCTTTCCTACCTGCATTTCTGTGTGCCTGTGGGCAAATCTGACATTACATATATTTCTATATTGTCCATAATTAAGAAAAGAGGTCCTTCTCCCCACTAAGTGGCTCTCAAGAGCAGAGAGGGGAATTTGCATTTAAAAGCTGCCTGCTTTGCAGCTCTGGCCTCCTCTGCATCCCTCCCACAGCCATGGTCCATGCAGCCATCACAGCCCAGGCCTCCAAGTCCCCTTGGCCTTAATGAAAGCTGGACAACCCCGTCACAAGACGACATCTCAGGATGCAAAGGAGCCTTTTAACCCTGTGGAAATTAAGCACTCTCCTCCGCTTGGACATTCCCATTTCACTGAGCACCACCTTCTCCCCACAAGCAGACTTTCCCTCCCATCACCCCAGGGCTGAGGCTGGGCTTCCCCTGGGGGCTCTCTGCCTTCCAGCTCCCTACACCCTGCCGAACCACGGAGGCTTCCAGGTCAGAGCCTGCTTAGGTGCACGTCGGTCCTGTACCACTAATAGAGGTGGGCAAATGCCCAAGAGGTGGCAGAGATCCCATTCCCCAGTATGTCCAGCCACAGATTAGAGTAACACTAGAACTGGCCATGGGGTGAGTAGGTAAAATGTACTCATCTGTGGCAGACAAGAGGAAAGATTAGATGCTGTAGCATTCTGTCTTAACCTTAAGCTTTTTGATAAATCTCCAAAGATTAAGGAGAGAGGAGATTCTGTAATATAAAATCTGGTTTGTCTTTAGCTCGGCTAAAGAAGAACACTCACTCCTCCACATCCTGCCTCTGTGTACCTCACGTTTCTGTGTGCATAGGCTCCAGGAGGGGAGCCGAAGTCACGGCCTGTCTGCTGTTATCTGCGCCTGGGATAGGAAAATGTTGAGGAAATTTCTGTCAGGACAGCTGTCTGACCTGGCTTATCTACATGCCAACACATGCATTTAATGCACAGCATCCCTTTACGCATACACACGCATGTGCAGATAAGTACAAATATATGTGTGAGTAGGGGTGCTAGCTAGCAGCTTGGAAGGGAAACCCACAGCCAGCATGGAGGCTTAGGACAGTTCAAGGGATCTCTACCTGTTCTCCTGTGCCCACAGGGCACATCGGGACTAAGCCTGTCCCACAGACCCCAGACAGGCCTGTGCTGGTGGGCAATAGGCCCCCCACATCACACTTCTGTACCTACAGGACGTGCCCAAACCACCCGTGAGGTGGGCTGCGGTGCGGTTAGCAGAGGTTACCACCCCAGGGTGTTCTCTGGATAATTCTATGCATTTTCTGCATGAAATGCTCAAGTCTGAAAGACTTTAGGAGTTGGATGAGAAATATTTTCTAGACAGAAATACAGTGCTATGAAAAACGCATGAGCAGCTGCAGCTTCCTGTAGGCCACATCTCACCTCCCGTGCACTCACAAGCCTCAGCAGGGTGGGCTTCCCTGCCACCAGCAGCAGCACCACAGCCCTGCCACTCTGCACAGCATGCCAGGGTGATGCTGATCCCGACCTCGGGCATTCAAAGGTATTCACTGGTAGCCAAATGGGAACAAAAGTAAAGTCGAGGGAGAAGGCTGGGGGAGGTGGAGAGAAGATGTCTTTTGCGGTCCCACCCTGTGTTTATTATATCTTAATATACACTCTCTTTGGTGACAAATCTTATTTCCCTCCAGCTAGGAGGTGCCCCTCCTTTCCCTGCTGAGATGAGTGTGTGGTTGAGCAGGGAAAACGATCAGAGGCTTTGAAGTCACTGATCAAAAAGGATCCTCTGTCCCTGGCCTTCCCAAGCAAACACCACCTTTCAGGGTCCTCACCTGCTTGCAGGAAGGACTCCCCACAGCAGTGTACATAAGAGTCACAGGCTGAAGTAATTTAGTGCAGTTGTAAGAGCAAACACGCAGCATCCATCCATCTTCACTTCCCATCAACTTTTCTCTTTGTAAACAAGCAGCATACTCCTTGGGAAAATGAATCCACTGCAACTCCTCCTTCACACACACTGCTGCAGCCTTGGAGGGACCAAGCTGGACAACTGGTATCAACACCTACAACCCCACACCCACACTGGTGCTCAGCATGATTAGCTGCAGACCCCTCATCCCTTATTGCTTTCTTATCCTTAAAACTGGCAGTAAGATTTTTATCCCAGTCCGCTGTGGATCTGGATCATGCTAAATATTCTACGTAATGAGCGGCCACCAAATCCAACCACTGGTCACCGCCAGGAGCCAGCTGCCAGCTAAAAGGAGAACATGGGCTTAGTGGGCACATTCTCTTCTGGTTCCTTCAGCATCAGCTGAAACAGAGGCTAGAACATCCTCTTCAGACAAAATCATTTTGTCACTCACTGCCGGCTGGCTTCATACTTTGAATGCAGCATATCCTGCAATTCCTCCTCAACCAAGCTTGGTGCATGAGATAAGCACACTTATTTTGCCCATCTACAGTACCTTTGAATGGCTGGGAATTTTCTGTCCTCATTTCGGAGCCCACGTTCCCCCTACATAGAGAACAAAGCCCACTCTGCTTGCACAGGGAGCCTACACTGTTTCTCTTAATCTAAAATAAGTTCCACATTAAAACCTACCTGCTCTGTATTTATGTGCAGGGAGAAACTATGACAAGAGAAGCCCATCAGAGAGGAGAGGAGGAAGCCAGGGCCGGGTTTCATTGCTCTTTGTCTGATGCAGGAGGACACAGCTCATCTCACAGGCATGGGGAGGGCCAGGAAGAGGAGAGCCTTTGTTGGACCTGGCATCACCCCGCGGGGCTGTGTTGGTGTGAGCTCGGCTGTGCTTTCTCACCAGGTCTTGCTCAGCAGCACAATGCCAGGAGAGGAAAAAGGAACCATAGCTTCAGACCCCTTTTCTCCAAGCAACTGGGGCTAGATGCTGGTTGGGACTGGAGGTGGGTTTTGCTCACCAAGAAATAGGACAGTTGCATTCTGTATATTTAGGTACAGGACACAGCACACAAGTTTTTGTTTTTCCTTAAACACCCCAACCCACTACCAGGAGTGTTTTGGTTGTTAGGCCCTTTAGCTGCACTCCCACATCTCAGCCTTATTCCTGGTGAAGCCTCCTCACCTTCTCGCCTGCAGCAAGCGGGAGCTGTGCCTCTGGCAGAATGAGGAAAGGAGAAATGAAAGGTGCTATTCCCAGGCAAGGTGCAATCTCTTCTCTCCAACCATCTTTGCAGTAAGCCTGCTCCTCCAGCTTGCTACAGGAGCCACAGGATTCCCACCCTCTTATCAGGTGCTTTTAGCTTTTCTCACCACCTCACCTGCTGCCAAGATCAGTGCACCCAGCTGTGCAAGGACCCTTCATCTGCAGGGTCCTTGAGCACTTGTGAACACCATCACTCTGCAGTATGTGCTATTGCCCTGTTCGTGGCTCTGCTTTGGAGCTCAGAACAAAACCAGCACAAAACAGAACCCACGTTCCTCATGCCAGAGGAGCAGGGGCTGGCATCTCCTGCAGGCAGGCGCTGATGTACGGAGGAAGTGGGAGCTCCCCTGCCCACAGCACCAATGGTGAAGAAACTGACAGGAGCAGCAGTCCTAGGAGAGGACCCATCCCTCTGCTTGTGGGTACTTTTCCACAGAGAGGTATGAAGCAGGGCACAGCCAAGAGGAACTCAAGCAGTAAGCAGAGTTTACTTATTATTTTAAGCAATGCAAAGCCTGCACTTTTCATAATACAGCAGAAGAACAACACATGACCCTGCCGTGCTATTTATTGCAACACCTCTGAGTTAGCAAAAGGTGCCTTTGCTACCCTCACAAAATGGCCTTTGTCATTTTTCTTCCTCTGAAGTGCCAGACCTGCCAATGCTGAAGGAGATTTTGTTCACAGCACCGCAGCACGTCCTGCTCTGGTGCTGGTGCAAAAAGGAACAGAAAGGACTCACAGACCTGGCTGAATCCTCAGTTGCATCTTTCCTCGTTCCGGCTTTAGAGCTAAGCCTACAGTAAGAAGTAAATGAGTTACTTAATATAGAAGAAGAGACGTTATCCCAGCAGGCAGAAAGACACCGTGGCTGCTCAGAGAACTGTCACCGTGAGGGCCAGGCCTCCTCGGACCCACACAGCTGCTCTCCGGTGACTGACAACAGCCCAGGCACATCTCCAGCCATCTTCTGTCCCTCCGGTAGCCACAGGAAACAACTGCATGAGAAAGCAGTTGAAACAGACTGTTTTCTGTGAAAAAACTATTACCTTTTCTGCAAAGAGCCACATTAATGCCAGGCTAATGTCCTGAGCAGAAAGCCTGCCCACCCTCTTGAGGTAAGAGCCACGCTCTGGAGCTGGAAATTGCCACCAGCCTTCATCCCGTGTGCCATGCGCAGTCACGCATAGCACACCATTCATCCTTTGTTACTGACTTCTGACCCCAAGGGCACTTTCCATTTCTTGTCCACTTTCTCTGCTTTAGAAGCAGCAAACACAGGCAGCAGTGGGGCCGGCGCTGCCTTCCTTTCTGTCATGTACTACTGAGTAACAGCAAAGGGCTGGGGGAGCGAGTGCCAGGGGATCTGCCAAGCCCCTGCCCGTGAAGCAGGAACCTCTTCTGCACCAGAGAGAAACAGCCTGGAGGTGTCCTGCAGCTCCTGGACAAAATTAACTCTTACCTTGGCCTTAGCAGGAGGTGCTGTGAAAAAAAAAAAAAGTAGGTAAGAGAACCAGTAGGCTTCATGTTTGGTGTGTCTGCGCATTAAACCGTTTTTTTAAAAAATGCATCTCCAAAGGGGTGAACGGGGAAAGTCACCAGAGGGAGGAGAAGTTCCCAGATGGGATGACTGCTAGGGAGCTCACAGGGTCGGGGCTGGCAGGCTCCTCTGCAGGGCCACTGGCTTCAGTGAGGTGGCAAGCACATCGCCACAGGGGGCTGAGGGCACGGCTTGGTGCTAATGGGCATCCACCGGCTTTGGGTAAGCAAGCAGATTTCTGCTCTAGATTTCACATATCCTGCCTCTAATGCTATATACATTTTAAAGTGCAGAGGCTCAACATAGTAAATAAGGTGGAAGCAGGTAGCAAGGGTGAAAGCGTTTTACGTACAGTCCTTTTGGAGGTGACAGTGAAGCGCAGCAAGTACCCTGGCAGTAAATGTGTGTCACGGCGATTTGTCTCAACTCCTGCAGAGGCAATTTAACGTCATTTCAGTAATGGTGTGTCAAGAACACGCAGGAATTCATTCTAGCATCCGCATAACTTTTATTTATTTATTTATTGCTGTCAATATGCAGGGTAAAGGAAGACCCGCTGTGGCCGCCTCCTGAGTACAATAATTGTGTAAATTCTGATGTTGTGGCATTTGATGGTAATAGACCAAAGGGGCTGCATTCACAAGCCACTGGGTGATTTTCCTAACTGCCTGGGCTGCAGATGCATTCTTTGGCTGTACTCTTGTCTGTACTTTCCAGCACCACACAACAAAGACCTTGTAACTGGAAAATAGCCAGATATGATGTTAGGGCAGTGCAAAGGGAAAAAACAGCTCTGGACTGGTAATGAATGAATTTGGTGGCCAGAAGCACAGCCTGGGGCTGGCCTGTGTCACAACCCACCACACAGGGCAGGCTATCAGCCCCTTGGTGTCACTTGGCACAGAGGGCATGTGTAATACCCAGGGGAACTGGTGAGTGTTACAGCCCTGAGAAGCCCAGTAAACCTGCACTTCAGATTCCCAAGCCCCTCTACTGCTAGATTCATCACCTTTGTATCTTTTATGGCTTTGTTTCCTGATTTATATCACAGGGATAAGTGTCGCTGAGTGTGCTTGTCATGGGCTCTGTGAGTACTAAGCAGTGCTGATAGTATAGCACAGATAATTATTAGCCAGCTACTTGCATAAAGGAGTAGTGGGAGAGGCTGTAAGGTTTGCACAGCAAAGCCATCCCTCTTTTGTAACATACAAGATAACCACCTGCAGGCCAAATCCTCTGCTGTAATAACCTCGTGGTGAGCACTGGGGAACACACAGAGGCCAACCAGAAGCCCACCGCTGAACAAGCTGCCCCCAGCGCCTCTCCCATTCCAGCCTTGACTTGCTGGAGGCCCAGGCTGCACCAAGATAGCCCAGGCTGCAACTAAGAGAGCTGGCAGAGAGCAGTACAAAGTCCTGGGTACAGACCATTCACTGCAGCCCACACACAGGTGGATTTTCCCACAGCTGCACTGCCCTGACATTCTGCTGCTGACAGCGTTTAAGTTGCAAAGTGTTGGCAGGTTTCATTGCTGGACAGTCCTCATCCACCTGTCCTGAAGCTTGTTTTCCAGAGGTGATGAGGAAGCCACCAGAGCTGAGTCAAAGACTCCTACACATTGAACTTGCCTGTAGATAGCACCTTCTGTACATAGCTGTGCTCCTCCTCCCAGCAGCGACACGGCCAGCTGTTCCAGTGCAAAAAAGTGCAAAGGTGGCCTCAGGATGTTGTAACCACAGCCAGCATAGCATTACCCTCCCTCCAGCTTGCAGCAATGCTGCTGAGTTACCTATAGGATCTACTTTGCACGTGATTCTTCTTGGAGCCAAATCCACAGCATCCCCAGGTTGCCTTCACCTTGCGCTGCTACTGCTTGCTTGAGATGTTGCTGCATCAGGAGCTTGCCCCGTGGCTGATATTACAGCCTGTGCCTGGGAGGCTGGGGCTGCTGCAGTCTTCAAGAAGTGTGCCATGAAGCATGCCCCATGGAAGTGCTGATGAGCAGGGGTGCTCAGCGAGCCAGTTCCTAGTGGAGATCAGGCAAAACAGGGCAAGCTCTGCCCGGCTCGGGTGGCTGCTCCAGCTGGACCATGGACTAACGACGGGTTTCTCAGAAGCACTCGTGTCGGGCAGGCAGACTAGGCAGGAAAGAAAAGAGGCACTTCCTAAGCTAAGGTCTGTGGTCACTGTCACATGGTATCTTGGCAAAACGTAAGCAGCTGAAGCTAAGAGATGTGATCTGCAGTGGTCAGCAGGGGAGGTCTGCCAGGCTACGGGGAGCATCCAAAGTAAAGCAAAGCCACTAACTGAGGGAATTGCCTACACACAACTTCGCCTCACCTTCCTCACCAAAGGACATATCTCCCTTCTGACCCTAGTGCCTGATGGCTTAGCTTTTGCAGAGCTGAATGGCAAGTTGAGATCAGAAGTCCCCTCCCAGCAAGAGTCACTTTTCGTTCCCTGAAGCTGAATCTTTTTGTGACCTCATGATTTGGTAGAGAGTCTCGCGGAAGTGGTGGTGCCGGCTCAGTCTTTTGGCTGCCTCCTTCAGCTCCTCAATGTTTTCAGCTTCTGCATGCGAGAACATGAAGGACTGGGACTGCTTCACTGAAACAAGAGCAGCACAGAAAGGTCAGCACACTCAGCCAGGGACACAAACCCAAGTTTCAACAGAGCACACAAGCTTCTACTATCTGAAGTAGATAGTAGAAGCTATCTACTTCTGCAGGACATGGAGGAAGAAGTTGCCCAATACCTACAGTCATTCCACGAAGTGCTGGTTCTCCGGCGGTGAAGGCGGCAGCTCTTTATGCGGCGAGTGGCAGCCTTGTGGATGTACACCTGAGTTCTTCATGATCACAGGCATCTTGGCCTCCAGCTCAGCGTTGCGGATGCACTCTTCAAAGAACCCTGAGGAGAGGACACCTCTCTGAGCAATAAATGACACTGCAAGCAAAGAACCAGTCAAGAGGAACTGCACCTGCTGACAGACTGAGACAAGTGATGATGTTCAACACTTCCCCAGATCTTCACAGACAAAAATCTATGAAGCTCCAGAACATCATCAAGTTTGGAACAACAGAAATCTCCAGTGCCATAACTCAAATTAGAGAAAGAATGGCAACCATCCATTCCCCCTTAATACTTTCCACAGCTTTCTAATCCTTTCCATTTAACTGCTGGAAGGCAGTTTACTCTCCATGATATTAAGATTAAATTTATCAGCTGTCTCAAAACAGAGAGCTCTGAAGCCTGGCTGGTTGCATTTTCCTTGAAGAAATTCTAAAGCCAGAGAAGCCTAGCTGGGGAAATAGAGGAGTTAGAAACACTGTCATGCACACCCAGGTGTGCCGTGCGTGGCCAGGGATTTCTTAATAGCACATGCACACATTACGGGCTCTGTGCAAAGCCCCACATCCACTAAACTCAGACAATGCTTTCCTGTCCGTAGCAGTTGCTTTTCCTGCCCAGGTTCATTTCCTTTTTCATTTCCTTTTTCCTGCCCAGGTTCATTTCCTATGGCCTTCTCATGGTCTAATCATTCTCTGCAATTCCTCTCTTGCTGCCCTCATAGATTCCTGCCTGTATAAAAAAGCTGGTCATCTTGCTGTTCGCAGGGCTCAAATGCTAATGCTCCCCAGCTCTGCTGTCAAAGGGCAGCAGAGAGCTGCAGCAATCACCTGCAAGGACTGAGCAATCTGTGCTAGGACTGGTACTAAAGAAAACATTGCTCTTTTGAAGAAAAGAGCCTCCAAACTTCAGAAATGTGTGCCAGGAGACATTCGGTGCCAAAGGTTACTTGCGGTTGCCCTGTGCAGGTAGCTCAGCTCTGATTGAAAGCTGAGCTCAACACAGCTATTTTAGCTCTGTATTCTTGCCATGGCTCCTCACTGCTGGCATGAAGTTCAAAATCAAGTCCTTTGCCTCAGTTTAGGAATCTGATGGAGAAACTACTGAATAATGTTTTATATATACATATAGTGCTCAGAATGCCACAAGACTTTTTGATTTTTTCCCTCCTGGCCCAATACATCCACATTTCACTGCAATGAAGCCTTAACTGTACAGACACAGCATCTCTATAATGGCTTCCCCCTGCACTACACTTGAGGATGGAAAACAAGGAAGACTTCTCCCAGATTAAGCTGTTGATATCAATTCCCAAACATGGCTCAAGCCAGATTCCAGGCCAGCACCCCATCTTAAAAAAGCAAACAGACAGGGATAGGCTGCAGGGAACCTGAGGCTTACACCTCACCCGTGGGTTGCAGTTGTCTCAGCACAGCAACGCTGGGCTGATGCAGTGATTCAGCTCTGACTCAGGATCCAAAGTTTACCTGCTTGCTGACCTACCAGCACATTGCTACAGCAGCCGTGGTGCTCCTTACACTACTGATGTTCCAGGAAAGAGGTCTGAGAAAAGAGACTGGGGGAACCAGAGGACTCCCATAAACTCAGGCCAAGTCAGTCTTTCCAGCTCTGCCACAACTTCCCCGTTTGACCTTTTGGAAAGCATTTACTCCTCTCTCTGCCACTAGGTTTCTCTTCCACCACACAGGGAAGGCTGGAATAATTTTTCACTGCTTTGAGGATGAAGCATCAAGTGTCTGCATAGCACATTTTGACTCCTCCAAAGGGAGGTGGAGTTGAGGTACAAAGAGCCAGGAGAGAGCACCAGGTGCAGCCTTGCTAATTTGGGAACCTCTTTTTGAGTCTGGAAAGATGGGTACAAATATTTCCTCTCTGGGAGCTTGCTCATCAGTACAGAAGATGGATGATTGACTTACTTCTCAAATGGCTGACATCTGCTTTCATCTTCTCCTCTTTCTCCTTGTTGCGATCCAGAGAATTTAAACCTTGCTCCAAGCGCTGCAACGCTTCCTCAGCTTCCCTCAGTCTCTTCTCCAGATCCATGCGCATCTTCACCTCAGCCTGAGGAAGATGAAGAGAACAAGAACTCCTGAAAACAGCTTGTGTATCTCTTCCTGCAACTCACAAGGCTTGCAAGGGACATGAAGCAGATGAAAATAAAAAAATAAAAAAAAAAAAAAATAAGTAAAAACCACTAGAAATAACATAAGACAACAAATGAATTGTTCCTCGTGTCTTCAGAAAATCTGAATTTGAAGTCCAGATTATTTTAGGAATTCTCCCTTACTCTGAATTTTCTTTTCACATCTGCATTCTCATTGTATGAACCATGTGGAATCAGAGATGGCATTTCAGCACATGAATTCATACCTATGCAAGTAGCTGAAGCTGAGCAAGAACAGGAGGCCACCTTTTTATCTGAGATGAACTTGAGATAAAGGCAGTCAATTCCCAAAATGGGGTGGGTAGTTCTTAGTTTCAGAAAGAAAATACAATAAAAATTAGAAATAAAGGATAATATGAGTAGTAGTTTAGCAAATGAGAATAACTCATACAGCTTAGGTCAACTGAGCTTTATTTTGGCCAAGTGGGATGCTAAAGGATAAGAAAATCTTGGAGGTGCAGGGAAAAGATTAGATGGGGGATGATCTGAAAAGGAGGTGCGAGACCTGAATGTGTGACAGACACGGGTGGTACCTTGAGATCCCTCTCTGTCTGCTGCTTCTCTGCAGTCAGCTCTGAGAGTGAGTTCTGCAGCGCCTGTGACTGGGAAGAGTAAAACTCCCGCTCCTCTTCCAGGGCTCGGGACCTCTCCTCGTTCTCCTTCATCCTGGTGCATGGCAAAAAGAATATCACCATCCCCACCCCTGCACAACTCAGAGAGGAAGGGGCTCAATGCCGTGGTGAGGCACATTTAACTACCTGGCTACCCTGAGCAAAGAGGAACTAAAGGGAGCATTATCTGCCTTCCGCTTCAATGACACAGGCCTGGCTGGAGAAGTAGTCAGTTCTTGAACTGTGGGATCCATCCTTAAACTGCCCTCAAAGAGGTCCACGAGCACGAAATACTTCTAATGGACAACTGCATGAACACTGAACAGATTCATAAGTCTCAGTCCTGATGTGAAAGGTGCAGTCCCAACGGCAGCAAGGAGTTCAGTGGCCCTTCCTCACTCTGCCCATCCTCTCTGAAGCATTCACAACCTGAACTCCTGACGTGGGAACTAGACAGGCTTCCAGCCTTGTTCTGTGCTGGCAGCTACAAAGTAAGTCAGCAGATAGCCACGTCATTTGGCACCACAAATCCTGACCAAGGCAGAAATGTCCTCTTTCCTTTACCACAACCAGAAGTTGAAATTATGAAGTCTCTCACCTGTCTGCAGGTCTCAGGGTCAATATGGGAAGAGTTTTGAAGTGATCCTAGTTTAAAGCCTGGAAATATTAACTATATTCTTTATGACTGCCTCCCATCTGCCATGAAGAAAAACTACCTCTTTTCCCACAACACCTTTCCCACTGGAAGGCATCTTGTTCCACCTCCCTGTCTCCATGTAAGAGCCCCTGACCCCACTTCACCTCTTCTCTGCCAGGAGTTTCTCTTCCAGAAGCTGTTGCATCTTCTCTTCGATCTGTCGCAGGCTGCAGTGCAGTCCCCAGCTGGGGCTTTGCTCCTTGTTAGGGCTGGTTGGAGGTGGGAACTGGTTTTCATTTTCTTCCATCATCTCCAGCATTTGCTGCTTTTCCAGGGAGAGCTCCTTGAAGAAGGACAGAAACTATGAGCATCAGTCAACTCTAATATTTCTGCTCCTTTTCCTGCCTGGCATCTTACTGAGTTCCTCCACACTTACATTCACATTCCTCATTCAAATTAAAACCAGAGCAAAAAATCTGTTGTTTTTTTTTTCCCCTTAAATCTGTTTTCACCATAGCCTTTGCTATGCAAGTGGGAGAGAACCTGGAGGCACCTGGAGTAGAAATGCTCCTTCCCTAACTTTCCAGATCTTTTTTCCTACCCTTATGGAGCTGCTGTTCAAAAATCAGAAAGCTCCCACAGAAGATTATAGCCTTGTTGGCCAGAAGGGCTCTGGGAGTCTCTAGTCCAGCCTCCTGATCAGAGCAGGCCTGTTAACACAGCAAGATTTGGTCAGCTGTGGCTTTGTATGGATGAATCTCAAAACGATTCCAGAACAGAGATCCCTCAACTTCTCCCATTGCCTGTTTGGTAGAAAATCTCTCCCAGTGTTCAACTCGAGCTTCCCAAGCTACATGTTATGGTTATTGCCCTGCATCACTTCATCTGGCACTGCTGAGAAAAATTTGGCTCTGCAGGGCTCCTCGTCACTTCCAGTGATTTCTGAAGAGGATTTTGTCCCTCATATCATCTACTGAATGAATCGGTTCATCTGCACAGGGCTTAACTCTGACACTAGCAGATGTTGGATTCATTCCACGGACAGCACTGCTGTCAGTCCTGGTCAGTTCTCGACGGCTGTTCCCATAACGCTGCCATTCAGCGCGGAGAAGCGGTCACTCACCTCTAGGGTTTTCTGTAAGGACTCTGTCAGGCTTCGCAGCTCTTTCTTTTCTTCCTCCACTCCTTTAAGGGAGCGGGCTGTGAGCTCTAGCTCCCTAAAGAAGCAGAAATGGTGACAGCTATTGCAGGGGAACACTAGCCCTGCACACTCGGACTGTGCAGGCTGTGGACTTCTAACACAGGACCTGCTACTGGTGGCTGGTATGGGCACTGTGAGACAGGAATTTCAGACAGGAGTGTGCCTGACCTGAAAGCATCACACCTTGAACACACTACAGGCATCCAGGGACGAGACTGTGCCTCCTGATGGTTAAAAGAGAGCAATAGCAAAAAATGCCCTTTTCAACACTCAGAGAAAACCACTTGGATCTTCCCTTTTCTAAACACGTTTGTTACTACTACTTTGTGTAGTGTAACTCTCAGAAAGACAAAATTATTCTTGAATAATTTATTATTCAAAAATTATTCTTAGTGAGACAACTTCAACCTCCACCCAGTGTCATCCAGCTGAGCATGAAAAACCGGACTGAGATGTCTGGAGCCCGCATGGCTGGCGAGAATACAATGAGTTTTATCAAGTGCTGAAATCCTCCAGCACCTGTCACTTGCCATACTGCCCCAGCTAACCTGAGGACTGCTCACATCCCAGCTCCTTGGAAATGATGTTGCTGGAGGCCTGAGCAACAAACGAAATTAAGCTGTAAACTACTGGTCACACAGCTGATAGCAAATGCAAGTACTCAGATCTCAGCCATTCCTCTTGTGGTCAATAGTGCATTTACCTCCTTTTGTACACAGACAAAATTGGTGGCTTTTATGTGTGGCCTGATTCACAGCCACACTAGTGCTTCTACTGAGGGAGCCGGTGTCCTTTCCCTGCCCTTTCCAGTTTGCTCCCTTACCGCTTGATCTGCTCCTGCTCCAGCCGCAGCTCCCGTACCACCTCTTCAAACTGCTGCTTCTCCGCTTCCAGAACCTGGTTCAGGCGTTCCAGTTCCTAGACCAAAAGAGGAGACAGGAGGGTACTCTGCCAGCACACTTAAAAGTCAGGAGCTGGTTCCCTGTTAACAAAGCCTGTCACTTTTCATGTGCACTATGCAGAGCCATCAGGTGTCTGATTTCAGCACACTTTTGTCCAGGGGCATTTAGAAGGAGCTAGAGGTTGGTTGACCTGAGCATGCTGCCTGCGAAGATCAGCTCTGCTCCATGCATACAAAAGGTCCAAAGCCTCCTGGGAAAGGTGGGCTCTACATACACATAGCCTTTCCTTCCAGGCACCCACATGTGCAGGCACAAAGCCTGGAGAGGAATACGTCAGCATGGTACTTGTACCAGCTCAAACATGGCACTTGTACCAGCTCAACCTCGTTTTCCATTCCCACTGGGACAGGAAAAACACAGACTGCACAGTTACAGCTTTGCAGTTCGGTCAGCCTGTCACTTTGGGCTAATAGAGCACTGCTTAAAGATTTCTGATTACCTCAAGCTAGCCACATGGGGTGAAACAGTTTCTTCTAGGAGAAGTTGTCATACCAAGACCTACCAGGGGCATTTACCAGCCTTCTCTCCATCTGCAGAAGAGGAGATGGGGACAAAGCACAGCAAGGGTCCATCTCCTGCCTTAGCTGCTAGGCAGATCTCCTGCCGCAGGCCCATGCAGGTCACAAAACAACACTGGTGCCAGATAAAACTCATAAGACTCTTGATCCGTGACATGCACGTGACTCTTGCACCACATGCAGAGACATGGTTCAAACTGCTTTCCCAACATATTGCTCTGAAGCCTCCAGGCTCACAGCAGGTCAGACCACTGCAGTCCTGTGAGCTACGTAGTCCTCCATCACAACAAAGTCCTTCACGCTAACCTGGCCCCATCTGCTCCTTGTGGGCCATGAAGATACCATGAATGGCTTTGTAAGGACAGGGATTTGTTCCAGAGTCCTTGGACAAGAACATTTCCCTCCCTGTGGCTGCAGGTAGTACAGCAGGTTACCTCGCCAGATAGGGATGTCTCCTTGTAAAGGCAGAAGTAGCTTAGCACTGGAGAAATGTCCAAGCCAAGTGTCCTTTAGCTCTACAGAAATGTAGGCAGGAAAAACATAGGCCTGAGAAGTCTAGGTCAGCATTGCTGTCTTTTGCCAAAGAGGGGCCACAGTTGTTCTGGATTAATTGGAGAAGAGAACACATGGCAGTTTGTAAGACTGCAATATGGTGATCTATGTCCTTGAGAGCCATATAAGAGGAAAATATATTTGAAAATCAACTTTGCAATAACTTTATGATGGTGGTATAAAAACTAGTATAGATTTGGTGTAAATACATGAATGAACTGTGCTTATTAGATTAAACAAAAAGGTTAGGAATAGCTTGAAAAACAATAATAAGCTTGATCAAATAAGGTATAAAAGACTGGTGCCCTGGTCTTTCTCTAGAGCAATGCTTGTTATTCTCCCCATCTCTTTTGAGTCCAAAGAACAAACCTGATTGCTTTTTGTTGCTCCTTCTTTCTCACAATGGCATCCCTACACTAGAACAATGTCAGGTCTGTTTTCTAACTCTGTAGACAGACAAGTCGATTGCCACAGCCTTCTTGAATCCAGCAAAGAGCAAGTATTCAATTTGCCTGGAGACACCAGCAGGTGAGGCGTGCAGCAAACATGCTGTGTGGAAACAGCCTGGGACAGGAGATCAGGGACACTGCTCCAGGGCTGATCCCGTGGCACAGCCCTTATTTCTCTTTTCACCCACAGTGCCCAGGGAATGGCAGGAAAATTTTGGCTCCACTGCCTCCCTGTCTGGACTCTGGTGTGCCCTCAAACCAGCAGCAAACCTCCCAGCCCTGCCCCATGGAAGCAGAAAGGAATTGGTTTGACACTCACCTCTTTCTGCTCCCTCTGCAGACACAGCTCCTCTGTTTCTTCCATCAGCTTATCTGCAAAAACACACACACACAAAGGCCAAACACAGAGAAAAGCAATTTATATCCCGGGGATGTTTATAAGCATGAAGCACTGATGGGAGCTTGTAAGCGCAGCGCTCCCTATTGCTCCATGCATATCTGTCTGAGAGGCTCCAAAGGCTGAGATGACACTAATGGGATGCTCGGTAATTTCCCTCCTGCCAAATAACTTAAACTAAGCAATCATATTAATGTGTGCTGCATCTAAGGGTTCCTCCCAAGTGCATTAACAAACTAACCTTCACCACCCTCTAGCTGAGCTAGGAAAACATCCTCAGCTCCGCTTCACACATAAGGGAGTGGAGGCACAGAAGGGCTAAGTGGGCACGCAGGGTCACTCACAGCACGGCAGCAGGCTGTTCTCCCCATATGTCTCAGTGCCCTGCCCTTGCCCTCCCAGCACGTTGCCCTCTCCTTTAACCCCTCTAGGTTAAACTGGGAGAAGAGGTCTCACAGCCTCCCCCAAGTCTAGAGGGGCCTCCAAGGCATACTCCAAATAAATTCTGCTGAATGCACGGCAGGCTGCTGCCCATACAAACCAACCTCTCATCATACTAAACCTCACTAGATTTACTAGATCTTACTTTACTAAATTCAGTGAGAGAAAAACTTTGCCCTGAAGTCAAAGGCCTATGGGGTACATGATGAAATGTGTGAAGTAGACAGGCACACGGGTGGTTTACCTTGGATAAGGAAGGTATTTAGGTTTGTTATTAAGTTGTGAGGTAAAAAGCACTGTGGTCTGTTAGAGTTACAATATGCTTTGAACCAATAGGAAAAAAAAAATATTCTGGCGAAGTTTAAGTTGTCCTAACCATGTTTATGTGCAATGTTAAATAGAGACAAAAGTATAATCAATTGTTCTGTGATATGAGTGTAAGGGGAGTTAAGTCAACAGAAAACAGCACTGATGTTTTATTCTGGTGATCCTAACTCATGTGAATCATTCTACGTAGATGTTAGATGGCTTGAGACTAAAAAGATGTGTTAAATAACAATCCTTTAGAGCTATTCCCCGCAGTGACGTCTTAAAGCCTCTTGTTCACCATGTTCCCGTTACACACGCTTTGAGTAGAGGCTTGCTTGTTTTTAGAACTGACTTTGGGTTTAGTCATAAAGATTGATAGCTGGGTTTTGTTGTTAGGTTTCTTTGTTTTATTTTACCATACAGACATAAATATCTAGGATAGCTTTGTGTGCGATTATGAAGAAGGATTATCTTAATATATTTAAACAAAACTAACTGCAAACAGATTATAGTTGCAGAGCCTGGAGAAATCAATCCTCTGGGAAACCTGGATCCCAGCTGGGCGAGGAGGGGAGATGGAAGGTAACCCCATGGGGACGCAGGAAATTCCCCAGAGCAGGGATGAAGGGCAGTGTTTCTGTTCTCCAAAGATCCTTGAGCTGGTGCCAGTAGCAGTGCCTGACCTCAAAACTTAACTACAGGATGGACACAGATCACTGACGATGAGGTTAATGAGGCAGAAACGTCATCAGTTAAATAGGAATAAATATAGAATTGCTGTCAAAAGAAAGTAACCAACTGTGAAAATTCACCAGCTGAGGATAATCTTGTCAAGGACCAAAAAAACACAGTGAAATATGTACTTTACATTCCAAGTAACTCTGGTTTGCCACAGAGTGCTTTCTCCTCCGTCCCTCCATCACTTCCTCTTTTATCATACTGTGATCCTCTTCAGCCTTAAGCAATTTTTTCTGCTCTGGTGTTTGCATAACAACATTTTAACAAAAGTTTCTAACTTTCCACCTGTCTCTCCAGGTCCTCCTCTCAGCAGTCCCTATTATCTCTGTGATCAATGTGTAAGGTGTGGAGCCACAGGGCAGAAAGGCTATTGCACCTCTCTTGAGGAACGCTCCACTTAACTTAGGAGGCATCTGGGGTAAAGAGGCTGCTGCCCCTTGGCTCTTGCTGCAGGCAATGTGGGGAGTGACGGCTGCACCTCTCAGGGCAGTCAGAGCACCCAAGGTATTGCTATCCAGAGGTTGGTTTCTGAGTAGGGAATTGGACTACGTAACTTCCAGAGGTTTCTTCTAGCCAATTGGCTATTTTGGGTTTTACAGCATTTAGAGGCAAGAGTTTCCTACCTAAATATTCCTGTTTCTCCTTGGCCAGCTGCAGTCCCTGGGCCTCCAGGCTCTCGATCATGGCTTCTCCCAGCTGGGCATTCTTCCAGGTACTAGAGAGAGCAGACAAAGCAGACGGTAAAAGAGAGCTAAGGGTCCCACAGAGAGAGGCAAAGGGCTCAGCCTAGCAATCTACCAAGGAATTTAAACACAATCTCTCAGTGGGGATTGTGATTCTCTAAACTTTTCTCTGCAAGTGACTTGGAGAACTTTTCCTGATGTTCAGTAAAAGGAAGTTTACAGGAGCTGTATATCAATACCACACAGCTACTCAATTGTTTCTCCAGTGCTTTGGAGATTTCTATATTAAACCTAGTCCTGAGCACCCTCCAGACCAACCCAGCACATGCGCAGCCTCCAGCTGCAAGAGGATGTACCTGGAACGCACTAAACAAATCCCAACTTCTCATAGACCAGTGGCATTGTCTTCTGTTTTTCCAATATTTTGCTGGTTTAGCTACTTTTCCACTTCAAACATCAACTACTTATTGTCCCCTTCCCACAGCCTTGTATCCTCAGCCCTTCTGGTATCCATCCTGGAACCAATCAATCCCTCCTCCACTCAGTTTGTACACCACAAGAATTTGGTGCCTGGCCCTACATTGAGGTAAGTGCCTCTCCCTGTGAAAGCATTGAGGAACCAGAGATAAAAAAGCCAGATGAGAAACTGGCAAGTACAGAGAGTTCAAGGCAGCAGGCATGTTCGAAGAGTACCTTGCATTATTGCAGCACCACTGGCCAGAGGATCTCAAAGTCTCTTGAAAACGTTATGAAACTAAGCTGCATAAAAGGCCTGTGGAGCCGACGCCCATTAGGGACTGAGTTGATGGACAGAGTGGGCTTCAATACCTAGACTAAGTAACGAAGGACACTGATGTACAAATCAAAACAGAACCAGAGTTTGCTGTTCGCTTCTATCCACGTTCCATTAGCAAACAGCACCTACGTACATAAAATACATGAAATGCATATGTAAAATCAATTCCAATCTATTTATATAGGTGCACATACAGGAACAGCAACTGCTGCCCAGAAGTTTTGTCATCTTTGTTAAATCATAAGGGAGCCTATGAATATTAAATACCTGTAAGCTTTCCTGCATCAGGCCTCTTTGTGAGCCATTGGAAACTGTAGCCTTTTGGAAACTGTAAGTTGGCAACCTCTTACAAAACAATTTCAAGGCAGCCTGTACTTCGTCTCTTGCAAAAGCCAAATACGTTAAACACACATTACCCCAGGGACCAGGCAACTCACACTACGAGCAACCCAGACACTACCTTGTGCTCTTTGCAGGCAGCTGGGTTTCTTTTCAGCTAACGAGCATCTAGGATATTTCCAAAGTGCAGAGGAAATTAGAATGCTAATTAAAAAGGTGATGTTTTGCCCACAGGTAGACATCTTCAACCTGAGTGAGAATATGTGGGTGTGAATGTGTGTTTTTCTACTAATGTGCTCTGATGTAGGAAGAATCTGATCCCAGAGAAGCCAACAGCAAACAACTCAAGCAGGGGAGGTAGAGTTTATCATATAATTACATGGAGGGTTTTAAAATGGCTGCAGCTTTTAAGGGGTCTATTCATTAGATTTGTTTTTTCAGCGTTCCCTCCCCAGCCTGACACATTTCCCTGTCTGTAGCTCAAAGGTAGCAACACCCACTGCTGTGTAACTTGCCAGATGTAGCCATAGCACTGCAGTATTTAGGCTTTTATTCCTTTTATCTGCTGGAACCAGTGCCTGAGTGCAACCACACCTGTAGGGAGGTGCAGGTGCTCACTATGGCTGAGGGGGGAACAAACTAGTGCTTTGTTGTTTTGTTCTTCTTACCACATGAGCTGTTGTTAGTAAAAGCCACATTGCCTGAAGTGCTGGAAAGCACAGCATCAGAAAGGCTGATGCTCCTTTTGCAGATGGGTGTCCATATTCCAGTCCTGTTGAGGTGGGGACACCTCTGCAGCTTTGCCGGCATTTTACCTTTCCTGGGAGCATCCACAACCTGCTTCTGGAGGCACTTAGTACTTTGTGGTCCACAGGGTACATGGACCATGCTCCCTCTACACAACACCCCTGGCTGGTTCATCATCTGTATATGGGGTGAGGAAACAGGGGACACAAAGTATGGCCCCACAGGGAGACTGACTATCTGAAGGCAGAGCTGCCTCAGTAGGTGGCGTGAGGGTCAAGAGTGTAGTTTGTCTTAGAGCAACAGAGATAGGGAAGGGACCTTTGCTTAGGAGACAATAGGAAGCAAGTAGGAAACGGCATCATGAGGGATTTCACACACATCTAGTCAGCAGTGGAGGTACCTGAGTCTGAGTTTGCTCTTACTCTGACGTAGCCGCAAATATCTTCCAGAAAATGAGGGAGAAACAGGACAATCCCATTTTTTCCTCCTTTTTTTTTTTTTTAATGTCAATCACAAAGCAAAATGATTTCAGCAGCACATCACGTGCTCACATGTGGTATGGCAACGGTTGGCACATTGCTCAGAATAAGCTCTCAATCTTATCCTTAGCTGGCCACATCCCAGCTCACGCCTTTCTCCCCACAAAAGAGCTGGTGATTTCTTTCCCATTGCCCACCAAGTCTCCTGGTAGGCTGTGCAGGGACTGCCACCACGGGCTTTTGTACTCCCACCTTGGTGCTTTTTACACACTAACATAAGTTGTGCAATCACTGTTTGCTGTCACACAAAGGCCATCATTGGCACTAACTGAGCAGCACAGGGGCTGCATCACCATCTTTCTCCACTGCAGGTTGCAGAAGCAGAGAGGGGAAGCCACCACCCCATTGCCTGTTTTAAACTCCAGTGCTGGGATATTGGGGCAAGGCCTGCAGAGGAGGTTGGTTCTGAAATGAGCAGCCAGGCAGGGCTTGCTTGTGAGAGCTCCATACAAACCCCTTCCCTCCCACACGCACTTCAGAGGCAAATTTGGCCCCCAAGTTACTGCCTATCCGAATGGTAGGCTTTGCCCTACAAGTTTCTTGCTCTGCAATTTTCTACCCATCCAGGGAAATTCACATCCCTTTTTAAGCACTGCCTCTTCCTGCACCTGCTGAGACTCAGAGCTTCTGCTAAGCCCCAGGTCCCACATCTCTGAGACCAGGGAGAGGGACAGCAGGTGCCAGGTGACAGCCCAGGTTTGTTAGCCAAGAGTCACCACACAGCACACCGACACAGGAAGCTTTCTGTCAGTTTTACAGTGTTGGTATTTTAGGAAAGGATGGACCCAGGAGGCAAGTGAGGGTCTCGCTGGTCTTGGGGAGCTTCTCTGCCTCCCCACAGTCCTTCTAGTCAAGCTTTTTCCTCTTTATCCCTTATATGTCTACAGAGCAGATCAAAGAGAAGAAGGAACAGAAAGCAGCTTACACTTTTCCAGACTCCTGCAGCATCTCCAGCCACTGAGCCTGCTCAAACTCTGACTCGGCTGCTAGAACAATGTTACCCTGGAAGAGGGAAGGGGAGGGGAAAGAAACCCAGATTAGAGAGGCTGGTGCCTTACACCCAGGGCACGAGCTGCACACAGCTATGGCAGGAGGAGGCTCACACCTCTGCGGGAGGCATCACACCAGAGCGAACATGGCACAGGCCTACCACACACTCGTGCTTGGAAAGAGATGTACACAGCAAGAGCTTGTAGAAAGAATAAAGGGATAGGGCGGCAATAAGGGGAAATGAGCTCTTGGGCTCCCAGATTTCCATATACTGGTTTGCTAGTATACTAAACCCACTGTCAAAAGGAGGAAATTTCCTTGTTGGCTGTCAAAGCAGGGGCAGTAGCAAAGCCTCGAGGGGACTTTATATGCTAAGCCACCCTCTCTCCCAGGATAGTTTGGCCAGAGAGGGTACACAGACATTGGCAGAGTAGGAAATCCAGCTCTGCTCATGAGCAATAAGTGTTTTGGGGTTTTGTTTTCCTTGAGAAAGAAAAAAAAATCTACTTACGTGGAAGTCTTCATGAGAGATCTTTATGGCGTAAGGCATGCTGGGCTCTTCTTTGGGTTCCACGATGCAGCCCCCTAGGGGTATAACACCCTGGAGATGAACCAGAGCACTCCAATCAGTCAGCAAAGTCAAGTATCACTATTAATAACTAATTAGGAACTGAACCACCACCCTTGGTCACTTGTGGGCCCCTGCCCTGCCTTGGACATCGTGGTAGGCTGATACACACAGCTCCTGAAAAGCAGAGGGACTCCCACCTCCACCACCAGGATACCTCCAAGTGGAAAGACATAAACTGAAAGGACATAAACATGCATTCAGCTTGGAGGGGAGGTTGCTGGCTAAAGCACAGAGGCGGGAAGGTGTTTTATCAAGGAGAAGGTGATCTCTTGACAGGGGCAGATGCTGAGGAGTGGTAAGAGAAGCTAGGAACAGCATAACCCTCTCTCCCTTGCAACCACTGCTCACCTTGGGATGGATATTGAAGTATTTATTGCTTTCAAAGTTCTTCTTTTCACTCTCAGCATAGTAGAGCAGGAAACTCTCCTTAATGATGAAGAACCTGTAAGACAGAAAAGAAACAAAATTCTGCTAGAACAGAGCTCCTGGTTCACAGCACAAGGAAATGCCCACCTATAGCTGCTTTCTGAGCAGAGAAGTTGACCAGTCCCACCTAACCTTCATGCTGGGTGCCTCAACTTCCATCCAAAGGCAAGTGCTAGTGCTTAACAGTAAGCGCTAAGTTCCAGTGCCTTGTGCTTCCACACTGCACACGCTGGTGTTGAAAGCAAACTATGGCATCATTTACTGGCAGGGGAATGGGACAGCAGTCTGCATCCAAGACAGGATCCCAGCCAAAGTGTTTTGATGTCTTGACCTGTGTGTATTCTGTCTAGCCTACATGGTGGCTTCAACCTCTTGGAAGAGAGCTGCTCCTTTCTTTTAAAGGCTCTCACGTGGGCTAAAAGCAACTAAAAGCTTGTTTTTGCAATCAGCTCCCTGCTGCCCTTTGTCCTCTCATTGTCCCTTGCCAGCATAAGCCAAGAGGGAAGTGTTCCCACTGTAACACTGAGTCATATGGCAGGGAGAGCCACAGGGGAGCATCCTCAAGCGACTCTCAAGGCAATGCGTTTGTCATGAGAGCACTCAGAAGCAGAAATAAATTTTAGAGATATTTTTAAGCAGAGCTGTTGGCAAAGTCTCCTGACACTGGCCTTTGTAAATAGAAAGGAAATTGAATTTTCTTCTCATATGCACCACATTAAGATGTGCCTTGTTGTACACAGTTAGCCTTAGGTATGTTCTGACAAGCACTGCACGGTAGCCACAAAACATCACAGCACCTGTAAACCAAGCCTCTAATTTACTGGAGCATGTCCTAAAATTGTAATTAAAGGAGTTCTGCTTTTAGCCTAGTTGGATGTTCAAAATGCCCCTAGGAGAGTGCCTCTTAGAAAACTGATGTTGCATTTACCCTGCAGGCAGTGGCACAGGGAAGAGAGATCTGACTTCAGTTCAGCCTAAATACCTGCAGCACTCAAACATGCTGAAGAGCAGCTGGAAGGATGGAGACTGGTTTAGTAGGGAGCTTTCAAACGAGTAAATGACAAAGAAAATGTTTTGCACTGTTCTGTAGAAGGACCTGCAGCAAGCTGCAGGCTGTGGGCCTGCTTCAAAATGTTTAAGAGTGGCCGTCATTGAACACATTGAGCACATTTACACCCAGATATGTTCACGATGCACAAAAACCAGCAGAAATTCAGATGCCCTGAGTTTTTTTTCCTTCTCCTTGCCCACTCATTTGTATCCATTTGTGTTGACAGAGGAGGTGAGAAGGAGCAGCCAGCTTGCTGCCTCAGCAGGACACTCTCTTCTCGCCTGATGCTCCAGGAACATTACGGTTGACTGCCTGAACTCACTTCTTGTTCCCAACCACAGCCTTGCAAAACCTCCCTGGACAGCACAGCGTGACAGTGCAAAAAAACACTCTTCTGTGCTGAGCTTAGGTACTTAGGAGAGGACCAAAAGGGTGCTCGTGCCCCGTGCAGCCAGCCCAGCAAGGTCCCTGAGGAGGAACTAGTACCACTCGCCCTAGTACTGCATCTCTAGCCAGCACCACAGAACAGTTCTCTCATGATAGCAGGCAGGGACATGGAGGAGCATCCCAGAGAAGGGGGGCAAGCAGCTTGCACAGCTCTGAGACCCAGGCAAACACAGGCCATTTGGCAGATCTGGCACTAGGAGACATGCCTGATGGAGTGGATTCAACCAGGCTCCACCTCTGTGTGAAACAAGGATTGATATTTTCTGGTATTTTTGTGGTAACAGAAAAGGCAGCCGTGACTCCTGCATCAGGATCAGAGATGGATCATACTTTTTCGGATTCTCAGTGTTCCTGATAATCCCCGTATTACAGGTTATGCTCCAGTGGAAAAACAAACCAAAACAAAAACAAGAGCAAAGCCCAGCACTGATCTCCCAGAATTGATGTGCCTCTGGCGGATTGATGAACTTTCAGCTCCCTGACCTCATGGATGCAGAGAATCCATGGGGATTTGGAATGAAAACAGACTAAATAAGAGTTTTAAAAATACATTAAATAACAGGGGGAAAAAGGCAAATAAGGAAGAACACTGTAAATCTGGTTAGCTGGTGGGCTGCTGCGTTTGCTTATATTCTCTTTTCTATCCTTACCGGAAAGCCAACATCTAAAAACTCGAGACCGCCACTTCAGCTTTGACTTTCAGGACAAACTCTCTGTACAGAGATGCAGGGGTAATTGCTAACTGGGAGAAGGGAGGTTGCAGGACTCCAGAGGCAGATGGCTGCAGCAGCACCCAAGTGAGCAGGAAGGCCAAAGATGACCGAGGGGGAATGGGAGAGACACCCCAAGGAGTGGGCCTGGGGGGCTGGGGATGCTGGGCTCGTGTCTGAATTGGGCACAGGTGTGACAAGGAAAGAAGGGGGAGTGGAAAGAAGAGGGAAACCACTGAAATGGCTGTGTAATTAAACTGGGATGGGGAGAGACAGCAACAAGCAGTGACTTGGTGCGAAGGCAGAGATGAGGTCTGCCAGGATTAGGCCTGCCAGACCCATATGGCAGGCAGAGATACTGATCTCTGGAGACAGAGCGCTGTCTTTGTATCACAGAGGGCTAACGAGATTAATTAGCTAATCTTTGAGAAAGTTTTTGAAGCGACAGTGGCCCAAGCTAAGTATTTACATTACCACACTGCAGCAAGCTGGCTACAGGTCTCTGGGCACCAGCCCAGGAGCACACGCAGCAGATCCCAGCCCCACTCCCTCTCCCTCAGGACAGATTGAGAAAACTACAGGAAAAGGACACAAGTGCTGTGTTTCCCTCCTTCCAGCAGCAGCCTGGCACCTCCAGTGGGTATCAGCACATCTGAGAGGTGTCAGCACACTTTGCCTTTTGTTCTGTACTCTTTTCAGTTCCCTGTGTTCCTCCTTGCTGTGGACGGCCACTCAGCAGGGACACACCTCGGGCTTTCATTCTGGACTCCACTGATGCTGCTGCCCATACAACGTGTGTACCAGGGAACAGCCTGAACTGTGTGCTCTTGGCTGGAAGGAAAAGTGAGTGCGGCTTTATGGGAAGAGGAGGAAAGAGAAAACAGCTTTCTGAAGCCAGAGAGCACTACTCTGAGAGATAGGATGCTGCTAATGAAATCTCCAAATCGGGGATTTCAATCACTAAGTCACCACAGCTCTGGACACTGTGCCTGTTTTTTTCCTTCTGATTTTTTTTTATCCATTCAGTCTCCACCCTTCCTTTAAACAATTGGTTTTCTTCTCAGCACCTCCTGCAGCACTGTTGCTACAGCCAAATGAATGGGATCGAGCCAGTAAACATAGTGCAGCTCTTAAAAGCCACACGGAGTGAGTTGCATGACTGATGGCCTGACGCGATCGATCCTCCTGCTTATCTCCCTTCACTTGGAAAGGCTTTCCTCAGGACAGGGACTACTACCTCTTTCTAGTGCAAAATTATTTCACAGCAATGGTACAACCTGTAAATACTAAATAGATAAAGTGAGACAAAATAGATAAAATCCAATATTTCAGGACAAAATCTGCATTCCTCAGAGATCAGATCCCCATCTGTATCTAGCAGTAGTTTGTTTGTTTTCTTCTTAATTTAACCAGAAAGGGAAACATCTCTTCTTCTTTTCATAGAATAAAGCACTTAAGCATGCATGGGTGCATGCATGCTTAAGGGTGCATGGTGCATGGGTGCATGGGGTGCGAAATGGATGAATTGCTCCTCATCCCCACCCCATAATGGCTGATGGACAATGACACACAAGACTTTTGAGTTTAGAGCGAACCAGTTCTGTGCCAAGAACTCTCTCTGCTTTCAGAGGAATTTCAGCAAACACTCCAAGCTGTGGCACGGCACATCCCCAGACACGCTGTGCCAGAAGCTCTGGGTTCCTCACGCAGGACCAGCACCCTGCAGCCCGCACACAGCTGCATACATCCACGGTCTGCCAGGGCCCAGGAGCCACCCCACTGGGTCTGATGGGGCAAAAGCCAGGCTGCAGAAGAGCCCGATGTGCTGGGACTCCCCCAGGTAAACCTGTGCCTTCTCTGGCCCCTCCGACCCCGAGGCAGGAGGGCACCATCACACTGCTCCGTGTGCTCCCCCTGCCCTGTGCTGATGTCTCCACTCTCTCTGCTGCCAGGATCAGCCCATCCTTGGACCAGCTCTCCCTGCCCTCATCACTCCTCCAGTCCCACAGGCTTTTTGCTGTGGAAGCCACTCCTTAACAGGAGTCATCTCCCATTTACCAAACACCTTCCTGTCCCTGCTCCCCCAGGACCCCCAGTGGCCATGCTTGCAGCCAGCCTTCCACACTGCCCCACGCCTGCCTCCCCACATCCTCCCTCCCGCCATCACTAAAATATTTACAACTTGCTGAAGATGGGGATGACTTCTAGGAATAGAACAGCACTAAATAAATAATGACAGAGAGAGAGCAGAGCTGGGCCATTTGCCTGTAAGAAATTTTGATTAGGAAGAAAACCTTTTAAGAATGTGTCCTCCATAGCAAATTACCTTTCCCCTATGTTATTTTGCCCATTTCTCAGCAGCACAGTCACGTCAGCTTCCAGACACCATTCATTTAAATAGCAGTGCTTGTGAGCTGAGCAGGGAACACCGACACAAATTCTGTCCTTGGTGAAAACAGGCCATGCTTTCAGGAGAAAGAGCACAGCATAAAACCTGCACGAGTCCCAGATAGCCACAAGCACAAAAGCACTACTAAAGTACGCTTTGATTCCTTGTGTCGACACTTCAGCAAAAGGCTGTGCTGCTTTTCAGCCCCAGGGGTAGCTCGGGCTTCCTGGGCCGCCTTTTGTTAGCAACTCATTTCTGCCTTTTCCCAGGGGAAAGAGGGGAAAAAAGGAAAACAGCATTACTTTGTGTTTCTGGCACAGTTTCCTCTGCTGATATCTACCAGAGGAGGTAGTACTACCAAGCTACCGAAGGAGGGCCGGTACTATTATCCTCCTTCTAAAGTTCATGACAACAGCTCCTGGGTCACAAAATCTCTCTCTGACAGCAGCAGGGTGAAAATGCAAGTTTCTCGGCTGCTGGCCATGAAACTGAGTGGCTTGCCAGTGACACCTAACAGCAGTGACATGAGTCTGCCTCCCAACAATGCCAGAGGGCTTAATCCCTTGGGTCATGTACCCCCAGTGAGCAACGAAAGCGAGGCATGCCACGTTCCTGTGCTCGTACCCGTACGTGACCAGCCCTACCTCATCATTTGACAGCTGCTCTCCCGAGAGGCCCAGTGCTTCACGTACAGAAGTTGTGCCAGCTTTGCACCTCAGGCTGACCCACCACTTTGGTGCAATAGGTTGTACTTCTGCCCTTGGCAGTGTGCTAGCAAACCTTTCAGACCCCTTTCAGGATGCCCCGTGGGCACACTGGGGTCTGTGAGGCAGGCACAAGACAGCAGGGAAGCTCTGCCAAAGCTTCACCCCTCGTCCCTGCCTGGCTGGCTGCACTTGAAGAGTCTGAGCACAGAGCCAACTCAGCCCAGCACCCCTTGGCTCTGTATTTCACCCCAGCGCCCCGCAGCTTACCTCCTGGACCACTTGGCCGACTGCCTCCCGAAGGGTCTCTTCCAGAGCACGCCGTACAGCTGCACTTTGGTGCTGATGTCCAGGGCATCCGAATCTGCCTGGTCCATGGACGGAGAAGGGGACACGGAGCTGGATTTTGAAGCAAACATCGCAGATGGGTTTGGTTCCAACTCCCCCCTCTGCTTGGCAGCTCCGGGAAGCCGATTAAATGCGGCGAACCAGAAGGATGCAGCCAGCCACGCCGGGCGGCAGGCGGAGAGACTGGGCTACGGTCTGAATCAATACCGTGGCTGCTCAGCACTCAGTCAGTAATTCGCCCTGATGCACAGATGATGAGAGTCTCCTCATTGCGTATGGCTTCCCGATGCATTAAAGGCAGAGCACAACCCAGCCCAAAGAGGAAAAAAAAAAAAAAAAAGAAAAAAAGGAGCAAAGAAAGCCTGAGATCAGGCATACAGGAGACAGACAGCTCACCAGACAGAAAGCAATACCATAAGCCAAAGGACCTCTGCACCAAAGGCAGCCTGGAAGGTTATTTCACTTGACATTGCAGCTCCCCAGGCAGGAACCAGGGCAAGGCGTTTTGCTGTCAGGCATCCCTTACTCTGACGCACACCCCAAAATCTCACGCTTGGAGGCAGCTGCTTCTCATTTGTCCTGCAAAAAAGGGGAGCAGAGCAGGAGCCAGCGAGCTCAATCAGCTTCTCTCTGCCCTGGGGAGGATTTTTCTGTGCCAGGCTGGCACAGCCCACCCTGGGACATTGACGTGGCTGCTGGGTCTGTGCTGGGCAGCATCCAGGCTACGTGCCTGCCTCTTCCTTAAAGGGCTGCTCCTGCTGGGAGGCTGGGGATCAGAGAGCTGCCTCCCCCTGCATTTTGGGGTCTGCATATGGCAGGCACAGCTCCTGCCCTGCCTCTTGGGTTCCAGCTGCTCCTTGGCCACAGCAAAGGTGCAGGAATACGGCACAGGACTCAGGTGAGCCTCCACTCATCTCTCAGTCAGCACTCACACAACGAGATTTTGGTTCTGCTTCCTAGACGCCTCGCTTTGGGGTCTCATGTAATCAGTACAGATGCATACATGCTGTGAGACAACCCCTCCCATTTGGCCTGTACCATCCCATTGGTACTGACGTTGATTGCCAATACACCAGTAGTGCTGTTGTTCAGAAGCAGCACCCCGCAGCCCTACAGTTTAGGACCAGGGGATGTGCCACATCACAGCACTGGACAGGGGCCTGCTCAGCTTTGCCTGGTGACAGAAAGCAGGAGCTTGGCGAGCGTGTGAAGCCTCTGAAGCTGAGGAAACAGCCTGCCTGCTGGTCACAGGCTGCAGCTGGTGTGGGAGAAGTTACAGAAGCAGGTCCCTGATAAATGTCGCTATCAACAGCCTGATGAGAGTCAGCAACCCCAATGCTTTGTTACTTACCCTGGCTTTTTAGACCACACAGCATGTGTCGGGTAGCATCACAGCTCAAAGTGGCATTGAGGGACAGGGTGGAGAGCAGGGGGCAGCAGCATTTACTGCCTCATCTCACCTGAGCCCCAACTCCTGAGCACCTCGCTGTGTCAAAGGGAAGCAGCATTAGTGCTGTAGTGACCATCCCACCCTCTGCACTAAAAACCAGAGCTTCAGGAGAGAGGAAAGTTTCCCTGGAATTATATTGCACAAATTTATTATTATCATAATTATCATTAAATAAATAAATATAATAATAATAATAATAATAATAATAATAATAATAATAATAATAATAATAATAATAATAATAATAATAATAATAATAATAATAAAGTATCCTGGGCCCAGCAGCACCGCCTTAACTTATAAGCACACAGGGAAAAGCCAGAGAGCCCCTGCATAAAGATGTCTCTGCCCCTGGACACCAGCACCGACACAATGATTTATAGCAGTGACCTGTAGCGAGGAAAAACAGGCCTTCCTTCTTTTTATTTTAGAGATTAAGAGAGAAAGGATGGCTGTGGCTCTCAGTGCTGGAAACGCAGGTATTGTCTGCCCTGAGGCCTCCAGGCCAAGCGAGGCACAGGGCAGTCACAGCACACTCATCACAGGAGGCAGCTCCAGGGGAGGGGAAAAGCAACTCTCTTACATCAAGTCTCCAAAACAGCTAAAAACAGGCAGGAACTAGCAATGCTAGGGCAGGAATTAGCAGCAGGGTGAATTCTGTAACCACTGATGCCCGGGACAAAGCAATTTGTAAAAACAATGGCACACAGCATCTCCAGGGTGCGTGTGCTAATCCAGCTACACTGGGTGCCTGCTTGAGGGAAAACGCAGGAAAGCAACCCAACAGGTTGCAAGTAAGGCAAGCAACTTCTCTCTCACAAACAGAAGGTAAGGGCCCAAGGGCCAGCCTACAGGTTTCTTGGCATAACTTCTGCCAGGTGCCAAACTTACTTCCACCAGCCAGGAATTAGAGATCAAAAGAACAGCCTCATAAAACCTGGTAGGGGAAAAAAAGGACCCACCACAGGGCAAGCAGGGGGAGCCAGGTCCTGCAGAAGTGTCCTCTCCAAATCCCAGGAGACAAAGGTCCTTCAGGAAGCACAACTGAACAACCTTGTTTCTGATATAAGATCTTGGTGAAAAATAACAGCCCCAAAGCACACAGACATTTATATGATCCGTTTGGGTTTAACCTGGGGGCTCATCATTTATAAGGGCAGAGGAGGGAAACCCAAGCACACTAGGCCTCAGCAGGATAATCATTGAACAAGTGCAAAAATCAAAGCATGGTCACGGCCTGCACTGGAGGTAAGGGAAGACCCCAGGCCCACAGGTCCCTTCAGCACTGCTGTCACCACAGATTCCCTGGCCCCGAAGCGATGCAGAAGAGGACTTGAGGGACGATCGCAGGTAGAGCTAACCCACAGCCTGACAGGAGACTGGAAGCACTTCACTTGTTTAAGTGAGAGCTGAGGGGAAAAATTGACTGCTCTCAAGTTTCAAGAGCTCTTTCCCCTCTTAACATATTAGCGGAGGTCGATGCTTGCAATAAAGCTAGTGAGCGAGCTGGAGTTGGCCCTGAACAAGCGAGTGGATGTGTACCCACCACGGGCAGGGGGCTGAGGCACTCGAGCACACGACGAGAGCGGCAGAGGTGGAAAGCCATCACTGGGCTGGATGCTACAAGCACAGCAGCCTGAGGCGGCCGTGCCTTCCTGGGTACGGATTAGGCCTACCCCCTTTCTCCAAAACATTTGTTGCAGAGTAATAACTTAAAGACTTTCGATGGATGTTATACTCTCGACGGCTCCGAGGGAAAACACAGCCGCATGGCCTGCGGAGAAAGCACTGGAGCATTGCTCAGAAAGCCTTCCTGTGGAGAGACAGGTTGTACTGACAAGCAAATTATTTCCCTGCTGCTGTCCCTGGGTTTCCTACACACCAAGCCAATACAATTTTGCTTAAACTACTCAGAGGCAAGCAGCAGTGTGAGCTCACAGGGAAGCAATGCTCCATCGTCACAGGCCACACTCTGGCTAGCGGTGCCCCCTCTCAGTTTAAGGATGCACACGCTGGATAACCCCAGCCGGGGCAGAGCCTTGCAGTTTTTGAAAGTAAGAAGTTATTTATTTATGTCCCGGGCAGCCTTGCAGCAGTACTTTACAAAGAACAGAGCACACCAGTCCTCAGGTTGAGGCTAGGAAACTGAGATTTGGGTAAAGCTGCTGCAGTCAGAAGGGTTCGGCTCTGGCTCTCCGGTTTGGATTCGTTTTCCTCTCACAGCTTTTTTTTGGCTGTTTCCACCCAGAGGCCCATTAGCAGTTATGAGAGGTATTAGCAGGCATCTGGAGCAATGAGGAGACAAAAAAAAAAAAAAAATAAGTCCAGCTCAGGTTTCATTTCTGATGTAACATTCCTGCAAAGGTAAAATGCCACATTTACCTACCAACATGATGCTCCAGCTCCCCAGATACACAGCTGTGTGCAGGGGCAGCTTTAAACACAGCAGAAGCAACCAGCACCAATCCATCTCTTTCACATGATCCACTGATAGATTTTCTTTTGCACATGATTAAATTTTTAACGTCAGATGGGAACTCGGAGCTGTCCTGCAGAGCTCAAAGCAAATGGGCATTAAGGCAAAGAGCCTTTGTAGATTTATAACCCCATCTGACGTGGCCCCACGGTCTCAGTAGAGTGGTCCAGACAAAGCCCTCCATGAGCCCCTGCCATTCAAACCCTCCCAGATCCATTTTCAGCGACCCCTGAGTCATATTAATCAAATCATTAGCTGGGGAGGTAAGCACCACTTGAGGAGGCTTACAGGAAGACAGAAAATAAGATGTCAATTTACTGTTTATTGAAGAGCGAAGGGGGTTGATAGCCAGCAGCTCATCCAACAGCTTTGTGAATGGCCAGCATGCACAGCCTGGCTTTTTTGGGGGTTATTTGCTCAGGGACTGACACCAAAGTCCATGACCCTTTCTCTCACCATCTAAAAGGAGACTGCTTTGTTGTTGTTGTTGTTCATTTGTTTTTGTTTTAATCCTACTGAAAGATCTCTCCTGGGAGAAGACTCATTCGCTCTGGTGTTTTAGTAAATGAAATGTTTCTGCTAAGCGGACGTTCCCAGGGCCCTTGGAATAACGCATCGGAGCAGTAAGGTGCCTCTGAAAAAGCTCCTTCTAGAGGACAGCCCAGAGTCTTCTAGAAACGTTCACATGGCCTGTATGAACAGAAAATGCTTAGCACTGAACCAGTTAGAGAGCTTCCAACCCACACCTGGTTCAACATCAGTCAAAAAAAAAAAAAGCTCCTGATTAAAGCATTGAACCCAGTAGAAGGGGTAGGAAGTTAGAGAGGAAATGTCTAAGGAGGATAGACAGCTCAGCAGCAATTGCTTGGTGAGCTCTCCAGGCAACTTTCTGCATAGGAAACATACAAGTCATGCTAAGGACTGCACACAGCATTCATACACATGCCACAGCAGTAGCACGGCCTACTGAAACACACGAATTTTAGGACTTCCATGCCCCGTGCAGCCCATGGTACCCAGACACTCAGAGACAAGGCAGGTATGTGGGGCAGCTGTCCTGGGGACAGCATTTCAAAGGGGCAATTGCTTATTCGGTCCTGTTAATCTTGAGCACAGAAAAGCACTGTGTTTGTGATGTGGGCAGTGAGGCAGGGCTCTGCACACCTGGGCTCAGTTCCCAGCCCTGGCAGGACCTCCCTGCCTCAAGCACATAACCTCATTTCTCTCACAGCCCCTCACCTGCGACACCAGTACCAACACCCAGACCATCACAAGCACACACACACCCGCAGTAGCTTGGATCCAGTGGTGCAGGGCTACTTTCTACGAGGTGTTTTTCAACTGCAAGAAAATTAGAAATTGATTGCAGTCCCTTTACTTCCACCCACGTTGTACTGTCTGGTCCAAAAGACCATTAACATCCACAGACTCCAACACAAACTGTGATCATGTATCATAAGCAATCACTGCAGACACAGGACGGGCACACAGATACAGAAGCAATTTTCCCCTAATACTTTTACCCTGGATTTCAGATTACCTAAATGCTGTATATGGTTTGGTGTCAGTCATAATGCAGCTTACTTTTCATTAGCTCTACATGTTTTCTGATTGAGGCATTTTTCTTGATCCAAAATCCACTGTAATGGCTTGTTAATCTCCAGACATTTTAGACAAGAGAAAAATTGCTATGGTAAGAAGGGTGAACGCTCCGCAATGCTGCCTGGAGGGACATTTGGATGAGGTTTGCACATATCAGTAGAAAAATGGTTTAATTTGTAAGCTGGAACAATAGATGACAGCTCATCTTCTTGCTGCAGTGCTCATCCCTAATGAGTCTGATAAAAATGCTTATGAAAAAACATTTTTTTCCCCTCAATGATGGAGCACTCTACAGTCATCATCGGGATGCCTGCAACACCACGGTTCCTCCATACTTAAGCGTTCGGGGTCTCTTGTAACATAAACACCCCTAAAACACTTCCTCCTTCCCCACAGCTTCACAAGGAGGGACACCAGACCGCTGCAGTTAAGTCTCCAAATAGCCAGAAAACATTTTTATTAAAATACATTAAAAGTATGCTAATATACTGCGTAATGTTTCAGCATTAAAACTGAGCTTTATTTGCAGAAAAAAAAAAAAACAAGAGCCTATTTGATTAATTGCTGGCTTCTCATCTGCCTGTACCAGGTACAACAGCAAAACTGCCATTTGTTTCAGTTCTCTCACTGACTCCACGTTAATCATGTTCTCCTGTAATTACGGCAGCACAAAGAGATGACACCTTCCTAACCACAAGTCCTATGAGCTATCAGAAAAAAAAACAACTCAGAAGACTGCTTGTTGCTCCAGTAAAAGAGCTAAACCATTCTAACCCTTAAGGTTACAGGATCTTAGATAACCTTATAAATAGCAACCACAGAAGAAATTTTTTTTATTTTTTTTTTGTCTGTTGAATTACTTCTAAATTACCTCCATCGAGGCTATTGTTTAAATGGATGCCTGAAGGTTCTTTGCTCTGGGAAAGAATACCTTCCTCGTTCCCTAATAACATAATTCCCCTTCCTCTGAAAGGCTATGCCTGATAGCCAACCCTGCTTACAGGGCAGCTGGAGGGCAAGAATATCAATAAAACGAGTCAAGCCAGCATCTTACCTTT